TTCCGCTCTGTCTATTATTCAGGTTCATCGACGGATTGCCGACGTGACACCATTTTCACCATCGATAGAACAATACCAGAAATTTATAAGTACTCAAATTGCAGAAATCCAGCGAGAAGCATTTTGGTGTGTCGCTGAAGCCGCATCGTGGCTCAAGTGCTCGGAGGAAGCATTACAGCGCCAGCGGACCGCTCTGGATGAGGAGCTCCGAACAAGCAAGTTGGAATTTATTTCCTCGCTGAGTAACTGGGCCTTGGAAACCGTCCGGAGCATTGTCAACGGATCGCTTCCGCCGTCGGCTGTTCCGGCTGTCATACAGAAGCAGATATGGCAGTATGAAAGCTTCGTTGCATCGATGAGCGACCTGTCTGACTGGTTTGGCCTTCTCCGGCACTCCAACCCCTTGCTACGGATCCTTCATATCGCCGAGGGAAATGGAGTGGTATCCGCGAATGTGCTTGAGTATCTCCATTCCGAAGATCTCCCATTCTACCTGAAGTATACATATACAAGCACGAAAGACGTCAGCCCAGGCGTAGTTGAACGCCTGAAAGAATTCAAGGAAGTAAAATTCGAGAACCTGGATATAACTACGGATCCTTGTCGGCAGGGCTTTGGAGAGGGAACGTATGACTTGGTTATAGTGTCAAATGTGTGTCCTGTTGATCCCGGAACCATATAGCATTCCAGATTGCTGACATTTCTTCCAGACGAAGGTTGCGACTTCTCAGCTGCAATCTGCTCTTCAAAACACAAAAAAGCTCCTTGTGCCGGGGGGCCGAGTTCTGCTTCATATACCAAATGCTGGTGGGTGACTTCTCGTCTTTCTCGGAAACTTTTGGCGCTTGAACCGTTATCTAATGGCCACCTGTTCTAGTGCTTTCTATGATGGGGTACATCAGGGTAAGTAATTCGTGCTCAAACCACTTGCTCAAACCCAGCAACTGACAGTGCTTAAAGGGTCTTATGGGTAACCAAGAAGTGGAATCCTTGAGCGGCATATCACCCTGTCTCCACCAATGGGTGGAATCACTCCGGCAGTTCGGACTTGATCAAATCCAGGGTACGCATGGCGAACACCCTTATTGCAACCTGACTGCCCGTCTGCCGTATCCCACGGGGGACCATACCGAGCTCATCCACCTTCTTTGTCCGAGCCTTGTCCATAATAACGCCTGGATCTGCAATGTGGAAGCACAGTTCGAGAGAATGGGTTATCAAACCCAGCGTTGCACCCTGGGCGCTGAGTTCACAAACAAACAGCGCATCGTATCGCTGCTAGATGTTCAAAAGCCATTCTTCAAGGATATTAGTGAGACGAGCTGGAAGGCATTCCAGACGATCGTCACCGCCGCGCCCCGGATTCTTTGGGTAATGCCATCCGTCGAGGTCACTTGCCAGAATCCCGACTTCGCAATTGTCCTTGGGGCGTCTCGCACGGCCCGTCAGGAACAAGAATTGCATTTTGGAACACTGCAGATCGACGAGTTCCATGCTTCGGCGGCAGCGGCACTGGTGAAGGTCACTGGGAAGTTTTTCTCACAGCTAGATTGCCAGACCGGCTTGCGTGATCCTGAATATGAATTCGTATTGCAGCGGGGGCAGGTATATATTCCACGTTTCCAATGGACTCGGTTGAAAGATCGACTTCGTCAGGACCCCTTGCCGAATGCTTCGCTCAAAATTGATATTAAGGCCTATGGGTTGGTGGAGTCTCTTTGTTGGTCTGAAGATGAACCACAGCCTCTAGGACCAGACGATGTCGACGTGGATATAAAATATGTTGGGCTCAATTTCCGCGTATGTGAAATAAATCATATTCTGGCAAATGAGAGCTTGTCACTAACCCTTTTACCAGGATATTATGATTTCAATGGGCTTTATGGCGCACAAGGGCGAGCTGGGGATCGAGGCGTCCGGAATCATCCGACGATGCGGCAAGAACATTACACAATTACGCCCTGGTGACAGTGTCGTTGTCACCCAGCCTGGACTGTTTCGCACACGCGCTATCGTGCACTACTCTCGATGCGTAGCCTTGTCACCATCCATGTCGCTTGAAGAGGGCGCGTCCCTAGCTGTTGTTTTTGGCACTGCACTCTATTGTCTTATGGATATTGCAAGGCTAGAGAAGGGACAGGTATGTTGAAGTTCAATTCCAGTGCGCAGTAGCTCAACTGATATGTCTAGTCCGTACTGATCCACGCGGCATGCGGAGGAGTCGGGCTGGCGGCTATTCAAGTGTGCCAGATGATCGGTGCTGAGGTATGCCTGAATGAATCTGGATCACTAATGCATCGTCGAAAGTAGTAGTCAACACTAACAACCTCATGTATAGATATACGCTACGGCGGGAAGCAACGCAAAGGCAGACTATCTTGTCCACAACATGGGGATTTCGCGCCATCGGATTTTCAACTCGCGCGACGGTTCTTTTCAGCCGGCGTTGATGAGTGACACTCGAGGCCGGGGAGTCGATGTCGTGCTAAACTCCCTGTCTGGAGAGCTGCTGCATGCATCCTGGAAATGCGTGGCAGAATTCGGCAAAATGATTGAAATCGGCAAGAGAGATTTCCTCGAGCATGGCATGCTCGATATGGAGGCGTTTGGCGGCAACAGAGCCTTCTTCGGGGTCGATCTCATTCGTCTTGGGGAGAAGCCGGGCTTTATTTCGAGGTAGAAAATACCCAGTTGATGTTTCACAGCGTCTCCAAATTATGCTATAAACGGGATGAAACTGACGGAACTGTGGCATCAGACTTATCACCCGAGCCATGGCTCTATATGAACAAGGCCGAATCACCCCTGTTCGGCCGCTGGAAGTCGTGGAGGCACAGGATGTTCACCGGGCTTTCCGACTGATGCAACAGGGGCTCCACAAGGGTAAACTTGTCATAAAAATGCTAGAGGGCCCTAGTGAAGTGGTCATTTCCAAGACACAGCTGAAGGTGGCTCTGTCGCACGATGTCTCCTATCTTCTAGTCGGAGGTCTCGGAGGAGTAGGACGAGCGCTTGCAACCATGATGGTAGAGCGCGGCGCTCGTCACTTCATATTCCTGTCCAGGTCAGCGGGAAAGTCCGCACAGGATCAAGCATTCCGGTGTGAATTGGAGGCACAGGGATGCAGGGTAGTCATGATCCAAGGAGATGTCGGACTACTTGACGATGTCAAGGCAGCAATCCAACGCCGCAGACAGCCCATTGGAGGCGTGCTGCAGCTGTCGATGGTGCTTCGTGTAAGTTCAATGCCAGCAGAGCCAGACAAATCAATGGATTGCTAACCTCTCAAAGGACCACTTTATTCCTGAGATGGCGCACTCTGACTGGAAGGAATGCCTCTCCGCCAAAGTGGCGGGCACCTGGAATCTTCATGAAGCACTAAAAGGATACGATAGCCATCTTCGATTTTTTGTCGTCTGTGGATCTATTACCGGCGTCATGGGTAATGCTGGCCAGGTCAACTACTCGTCCGCCAACGCGTTTTTGACGTCCTTTGCCCAGTACCGACTCCGTTCTGGTCTCCCGGCCTCTGTCGTGAATCTGGGGGCCGTGGACGAGGTAGGCCATTTAGCGATCCAGGACCAAAAGTTGCGAGACAAGATGCAGGCAGCCCATGTTCGCCTCCTCAGCGAACAGGAGGTGCTTGATGCATTTGAGGTTGCCATGCTTGAGTGTCAACCATCGAGCACGCAGGCGAACGAGTCATCCGACATTCTCCGCGTCCGAAACGATGTTATCGTGGGCATGAGTAGCACAAACTCTCTCGCGGACCCTTCCGTTCGCCCACTCTGGGGACGAGATGCAAGATTCAGCGTCTACGCAAATTTGGACATCAACACACGGCCCCTTTCGAAGAAACTAGACGTAGTAGAGGGCCTGCAACAGGCATTGGCGGCAATCGAAAAGGATCCGGACCGGTTGAAAGACCCAACGTTGCCGAAACAAATCGTGACGGATATTGTCAGGACCATACAGGAATATTCGGTTTTCGCCCGCGGACAAGAATATGCGCAGGTGGCTGCTCTGCCCATTGATTCCTTGATGACTGTGGAGTTCCGCAACTTTAGCCGCCGTTACCTTAATATGAACCTCCCCTTGACAGCGATTGCCGAAGCAGGCACCGTGGAGGGACTGGCTAAATTAATCTTCGATTCTTTTCGCTCGAAGTATCTCAAGCAATGAGAATGCGGAGTTGGACAACGGGAATTTGTTCTAATAGTTGGAATTGACATTCTCACATGAACCAGTGGTTATCAGATTCCCACCCAGGCGTAAATATGTTAATAGAAGGTGACTACGCTTGCAATTCTGCGCATTTTCTATTGGATATTACCACCACCTTTTTGTTCGGCCCTTCTCCTGTGGTCTTTGGAGTCTATTTTGCGGCCCTATAGAATCTAAATACAGCTGGGCCTGTCATCACCTTGTTCGCGTTAGCAGAAGATATAGCCTGGGTTCAATTCATGACATCTGTATCAAAATGAGACGTTGTTCCGATTTATAAATCTTACCACAGGACTGCGGTATGGTTTCACTGAGCATCGTCTCAGTTTCTTGCTTCGGTTTTGAACAACCCTGCCGTTCTCGACAGCTCCTGCGGCGTAGACACGCTCTCAATTATTACCTCATATAAAGCGTATACACTTGGTCGAGTGATAGTTTTGAGATGCATCTATTTATATCTTCCTTCCTGATCTCTACCAATCTGACCAGTGGACCAACCTAGAGTGACCATGAGCTACGGTGAGGACGTCAGGCATAACTGTTGCATGGAAGCATACAAAAATGGAGCAGTTATTTTCAAACAGGGTTATTTCTGCGGCGCAGTCACTTGCAGTATTTAGTCTGGCACTGCCACCACCATCACAATTCCAGAATAGCCTCGGAGACTACCCCTCAGAACATATATTCCCCGCTTCTCCCGTCGAGCCTTTGTGAATACCAGGTGTATTACTGCAACTGGGACAGAGAAGGCAGAGTTCTGCAAACCGAAATCCAGTATGAAAACTGCTCCAGAACCAGCGACTCTCCATGACGTGGACGAGGACGGCAATATTCTCTTGCATAGCAAAAGATCAGCTTCTCGAGTCATGAAGGAGACAGCAAAGTCGCCTCCCAGAAGCCAGAGCAGGATCAGTTCACGGACGCCGCAGAAATGCATTTTCGGCAAGTCTATCTGCAGAGGCCCTATTGAAAACATGGTCAAGGAATACAATCTCAATCGCTATCCTCTCACAATATTCACCCGGAGCCAAGATCAAAGCCGTGATCGCAATGAGATTCCTGGGTATCGTTTTAGGAAAGTTTTCTTTACTGGTAGGAAAGCCCGAAGGCCTAGTGACTTGGTCATTGTGCCGTGAGTGACTAAGCAGCGAGGACTAACTTAACTAACCATGCTACACATACCAGACGAGACAGAGATTCTTCACCCAGATGCGACTTACGACAGGGGTCGGTACGTGAGATTGACTGCTTTCATTGCTGAGAGAGACGAGACCCACCCCGATCCCAGGATCTATGTGGAACAGCGAGTTTACCAGGGGAACCGGGAGATGATTATGATTCACGAATTGATACTCGGTGGCACGGTCCAAGTCGGGATTGAGTACGTGTTCACAGCCTGTGGCGACGAGGATATCCACCTGGGGAAGCGCGACCTGAGGCTCACCATTAAATCCGTAAGTGTGGGATTTATGCCTGCGCAATATTAATGAATGCTCAGACCCCGGACTAGCTACAGCAGGATATATTCGATGAACACATGCACGCTCGCGCAAAGTATTACGGCTACGATCGCAAAGACACTGTTTTCGTTAGCCAGTTCTCGCTCTCCAATGGGTTAACCTACACCGTCCGTAATCCCGCTAGTGGCCAAGAGTCTTCATTCAAGGTCTTTCTTGAAGCCGACGATCTCCGGACCCTCCTTGACGCAAAGTGTAAGATGCGATCTGCTATTGGTGCCGCACCTGGTGAGGGGATTGAACTGCTTAAACTGCGTTTCCCGGGATATGGAGAACATACTGAAGACAAAATGGATAGGGGTGACCTTGATCTTCGAATTGTGTATAAGCTTTGATAGGATCGTGCACCATACTCCTGTACTACAATATGTCAAGAGAACCCTTTTCGGTGAAGGCGTTGTTCTATCAATTTGTCAGCATGTCATTTTCGGATATATTGGTAGTACGTAAAATATCGCCATTGCTGCAGTATACTGTCTGAACATCCGTCCATATATCTCGGCAGAACCCGTCCATGGGCAACATCTTTATTGCATAAGCCTCGATATACGGGATCAAAAGAAGCCCCAGAATCAAGCTTAGTTTGGCATATTAGAGATTAATCTAGATGGAAATGATCGACAGGTGCGTTTCCACCCCCTGTGTTGAAGGGATACGATGGTCACACGCTAGATATACGAGGTGGCGGCATGACAAGCGGGAAGTTTTGTGCTGAAACATCCCACCCTCGTCAACTCCTCACTAAACCTCCATATTCTTCGACCGCTCATCGTTAGAAACACAACAAACAGAATATCAGATTAAAAAATCCGAGATTATCAATCATGGTAAGTTACCTTCCATATGATCTGCCCGCTGCTAATGCGCCATAGGATCACTTCCAGCCTTTGTCTGTTCGCCTGATGTACGGCTCTGCCTTAGCAGTGCAAGGGTTTGATGCTTTCGCCTTCCTGTTCGTCTCGCCGATTGTTATACCCAACCGCGACGAGCTGGCTCACCCCTTGACCCGTTTCTGGATGCGGGTGACGGGCGTTTCCTTCTTCCCATATGTGCTGAGCACTTGGCTGCTGCGAGACTACCATATCCGTCACTCCAAAGTTGGTCGGATCATGGGCTCCTGCTTTGCATTTTACAATGCTAGTCTTGCTGCACTATATACATGGAGCGCGCTGCAGGAGAATGAATATACCATTCAGCCGTTGTGGTATGCCGCAGGATGGCGGGTCGTGTGGGCCACTTGGGCTGTCTGGGGGTTGTTAGCAGCTCCATGATCGCTACTCGTCAAGATATTCTGGAGTATCATTGGCACATTGCAACTTCTGGGAGACGTTGGGTACCGGCAAAGCTATATTCAGACTATCCTTCCTATTATAGTTATTTCATCCAGCTCTGCCTGGTAACTACCATCCAGATTATGTAAATTCATATATGAGCTAGCGTCTCTAAGCTTGATACAGGTTCATCCACTAGGACATTGGTCCACTACTCTTAAAACCATATAGCTCTTGAGTGACATTGCCCACTCAAATGCACTTTATAGGACTGCCTCACCTCAAACCTGGCACATACGACCATAGGGTGTGGAAAACAGGGCTTCCCGTCCGCTCAGCCGTACTTAAGCCACACGCCGGCCGGTTAGTAGTTGGGTGGGTGACCACCAGCGAATCCCGGCTGTTGTATGTTTTTGTCTTTTTCCTTTTTCATTTTTTGTTCTGTTAATTGCTTGCTTCTCTATGGGCCTAACCAGGTACTGTTGATGCCCATTCTTAAATTTAGGCAGATGCGCTGGCCGATCCAGATGTACGCCTGCCGATGTAGTGGGAACCATTGGGTGTTGTCCCAAACAGATACCAGACCACCCCTGTCCAGTCTTTGCTGCATAGTTAGGGGATCGCATTTGTATCAAAATTAGCCAAGCAGACTACGCTCGCGATCGGATACAGGATTACAGGATATGTGGTCAAGGAATCTTAATAATTAACAGGATGTATGTTACTTTTCATCCCCTGTTTACCAGTCAGTCTGAAATAAAGCAAGACTCTTTAAATATTATTTAGAGTTATCTAAGGTATAGACTTAATTAATAAGGTATATGTTTATTCTAAAGTGAAATAATACATTCTTTGCTACTTATTTATTAATAGACTTTGGATTAGCTCTTAGAAAGGATCACGTCGATTACAACTTCGGACAACTCAACACCTCTGATGTAAGAAATACCTTACAGGCGCGTTATTTCGCGAACTAGCGGTGTGGGCCTCAACCAAGGCTGAAGGTCGTACTTGCGCTAGCTTCCTATAGGGACATAATGCATAATGCGTCATTAGCTTTGTTAGCTGGAGGGATTCGAAAGTCGAGATATATTATAAAATGGAGTGATCAACGCATCTTCCGCAAGATTTTCTTCTAGTCTCGACGACTGGCAATTTCGAATGGCGCAATTTGATTACATCGGGCCAATATTGGCCGACTTGAGACGGACAATCATTCCACACAACGTATCTTTACTTCTCGTCACTGGTTTTATTGTCAGCTGCATTTCCTATTTCTGTATCAGACTGGCCTCAAATGCGTCGGCTGTAAAATCGGACTCTAAGCTTTGTGCGCCTCTACAGCTTCCATATGCGCTGCCCTATATCGGCCACGCATCTTGGTTTGTCAACAAGACACCGGGTCTCATGTGGAGGAGGTTGATCCGCTATAACTCTCGTACTGAAGTATTTACTCTGGTTGTGTTTGGGTACCGCATTCATGTTTTCCGTGTCGTCCCGGCGATGAACAAATTGCTCAAGCTAAGCAAATGTAATCACGCCAAACTCCTGGCACGGGCTGGTAAAAACATATTCGGCCTTGATTCTAGAGAGTCCGGGAAGCTAAACGCTCACTATGGAGAACTCAAACGAATTTACCAGAGCTATCTCCTCAAGCAAGAGCGTGCGAGCGAGCTGGCCAGACAATTTTGGACTTGCATGCAGAATGAGTTGGTCGAGCAACGAACTAGCGCCGGGCAGGTTTGCTTGGGCGCGTGGGCGTACGATCGCGTCTTCCACGCATCTACAACCGCTATTTTTGGAATGTCCCTCCTAGAGACATATCCTAGACTCGGGAACGACTTGTCCATTGTGGAAAAGAACTTTACCCCTTTATTTGCCGGGTTGCCCCGTTTTATGATCCCCGAGGCCTATCGAGCTCGGGAAAACATACTAGAGGGACTAGTTCGCTGGAACTCTCAGATATGTTCTCTTTACGACGGAGAGCCATTAGACCCCGAAGCAGTATGCTGGGATCCAAGATTGGGCAGTAGGGTCCTGCAAGCACAACGCGTCTGGTGCCATAAATATGGCTTTTCGCCTCGCGGAGTGGCGGCTATGGACTGTGGTTTCCTTTTTGCGCTTAGCACGAACGCAATACCAGCGACCATCTGGATGTTGATGCACATCCTGGCTCCTCGAGGCGACGAGACTCTCCTGCCCGCGGTTATGGAAGAGCTCGCCTCGGCGCAATCTAACGACGGGGGAGTTGATATCCCAAGATTGATGTCTTTGCCTCTCCTGCAAAGCATCTATCTGGAGGTACTACGCCTTTATACCGACTTGGTTCTTCTAAGGCAGATAGACCGCCAGGTCAGAGTTCCAGTTGACGACGAGAGGCAGGTTGTTCTGGACAAGGGATTCGTCTTCTGCCCTGTGTGGTTCTATCACCGTGACAGCGAAAAGTATGGCCACCCGCCTGCGGACGAATTCTACCCTGCAAGATTTCTGCGCGAGGATCCAATATCAGGAGAACGCGTTTTCACCACACCTACGGCAGGCCAACTGTTTGCCTATGGGTATGGCGAAGCGTCGTGCCCGGGGAGAGACTTTGCCAAACAGGAAATCCTCGGTGCAGTGGCCTCGATATTGCTGGCGTTTGAGATCGACTTTGTCGAATATCTTGACGATAAGGGGAACCCTTCATCAGCGTTTCCCGGCCCCGCAGCGATGAGTAATGTTAGCAGCGGGGTCTTATCAGTAGGTGGAGATATGAAAGTAAATCTACGACCTCGGATATATAAGCCGGGTCAACCTTAAGGTGGATATTAAAATTTTTCTTAAGAGAATGTTATTAAAATATTTTAAATACCGCGATAATACGCCGTAAGAGCGTAAGAGATTAGGGTATTGCCTTAACTTGATTATTTACTTCTTCCTCTGGTTGTTTATAACCTCTTTTATTATTATGCCCTACTTTATCCTGGGTTTAAGACGAAGGCTGCGAAACATACATATAGAATATTATAGTGCCTTTTCTAACTCATGCCAAAAAAAGGATACTGAATTGTATGGGTGATGTGTGTAACAGAGATCTCCAGCGTCCTGTCCATAACTCTATAGTCATTCATACATCAAGGCCTCTCACCAAACAAATGGCGTATACCGACGGGTCTTACCACGTCGAGAGATTCTCGATGGCCTCTCTGAATACTGTCCACGTCCGTGGCAGAAGATGTCCCGTCAACCAATAATTACCGCCATGATCTTTCCCATACAGAACAACGACATTTCTCTCCGTTCCATAGAGTTTCAGTGGCTGAAAATGATGGTATATCATAGTTCCAAGCGGGTTGCTTCTCTTGTGGCTCTCTTCACCTTGCCGCGTCACCGCAGCTTGGAAGTCTGCCGTATGGATAAAGTCTGCCTTAGTCCAGTTGCTCATAATAAACAAAGAGGCACCAGCTTCCCCGCATAAAAGCACTGTGTCCCTGCCACCATCCCAAAGTTTGCGCAAGGCCTGTAATAGGCCTAAAAACTGCGGCGCGGTTGCTTGCTCCAAAAGTGCGCGACGGTGCGCCAGTGCGATGCGGCCAATGGGCCCGATTGCTAGTTGACTGGAGATCGATGTAAAGGCCCCAAGGACCATGTTTTGTACGTATACGCCTCCGGTCTTGACGATAGCTGGTAAGTGAGGCCGGACATCGATGGCGCTGATAAGTGTCGCCGGGCGAGCGCTGGGCTGTGACAAGGCAACTATACGGCTCATCCATGCCATCAACACATCCCCGTCACTAATCCAAGGGATATTGTCGTCAGTCGTATGATCCAGGATGTCCTGCTGCGCCTGACGGCGTAGTTCATTTACGGTTTCCTTGGGCAGGTAGACAGTCCGCGCTTCAACTACCCGGTTCCAGAGCATGTCACATGCATATCGTAGTATAAACCAAAACAGACCGAGTCCTTTCAAGCGTCTTGACTCAAAAACTGGATCCTCCCCAAGCTCAACACTTGGGTCCGCCGCATCGTACAAAACGTCTTCCCTGGCGCCAAGGAGAAGCGGAACCTCAGCTTCTCGATTCGCCAAAACTAGGGACCACGCACGTAAGAGCGCTTGTTGTCCCATGGCGTCCATAAGTGTATGAGGCCATGAGAGCGACACCAGCGTTGCGTCTTCAAAAGAAGTGATGTGCAGAGACAGCTGCGGAATATCATTGTTGAGAAACTCCACCAGTGTAGAAGGCGCATCCGGTCGTGCTGCAAACTGGCGGAAATCAGGTGCTCCACGCTGAATAGATGGGCCATCTGTGGATCTTGGAAGCTGGCTTGCCAATGGATGTTCTGCAAGTGTCATCGCGAAGACATCGTGAGAAAAAAACACGGCTGGTCGTTCCTCTGTGAACTGTTTTGGTACGTGAATCTCCAGCTTCCTGTTCTTGCCGCGTCTGAGTCGGCCGCCGAGCTTTCTCCAATCGCCTATCTCTAGGAGGCGGGACAAGGAATCGTAAAGCTTGTGCGCATCAAGTACATCGTTGAATTGTAGTGTCCATGTCATGATAACAAATCTGAAAGCCCGACTGTTGTCGAAGAAGTGCGTCGGGTAAATGTCATCGAACTCGCCTTTGTCAAGATGTCGCTCTGAGCAGAAGAAACGGTATGAAGTGTCCATGATAATACACCGACACAAGAATGATGAGGTCGAGAAATTACTTGATGCGTTGATATCCTGCTGATTGGTACAGGGTCGTTTACTTCTTGTTTGCGCTATCCAGCCTTGGCCAAAGATAACAAGACAGCTGATGAAGATTCAACCAAAATGACTGCTATCTCCGGCTACCTAACTAGTTAACTAGTTAAGTTAGTTAGAAAGTATCGCAACCCAGGGATTGTGATAGATCATATGCCGAATCCTATTCGGGCTAGACTTCGGCAAGGGTACCCAATGCTTCTCCATCTCTCAATCTCAGGCTGAATCTGAACGACCTTTCCTACCGCATTTTGGAATGTATCAACGCTGATCGATGGCAAGCTCTTCTTCAAGAAGGCAAGGTACTGCCTTCAGGCCAGCGAGCTCTGGATTTAAGGTTTGGATCAAACCAGAAGTATGGCGATTAGATACATAAAGTGAAATCAATTCGCAATCCGGCGGCCACGAAAGCACGGAGAACGCTCGCTCTCTTCTATCGGCTCATCACAAGATGCAAGCCACTTAGAACAAGCTACAGGGCGGTGAAAAATGCGAGGCTAAGCAGGTATCATCATACTAGGTATAAGATTCATTTGCAACAGCACCAGCCCGCGCCCACCGTCCAAAGGCCATCATTGGAAAAAAGTGAGGGTATAGGTCATACTTCATATAGAACCAATTCGGGATTCCAACTCCTTGAACGATATACACCCGCAACATCTGAATACACGCAAGTAGGCCTCTCCAGTCCACGACGCACAGGGCTCCAGTCAACACTAAACCCATTTAGTCTTTGTGCCAATAGACTGTATGCTTTTGCTGGGTAGATTCCAGCCCAGTCTCCTTCATCTTGATGCCCCAAAACCCAGTTGATGCAATTCTGGATTGCGTAACGTCTGAAAGGGAGCATTCGTAATAGCCCTCCCAGAAAATGAAGAGTGTAATCAATCGCCCAGAGGCCTACTTGCGTGTTTTCAGATGTTGCGGGTGTATATCGTGCAATGAGCAGATAGGGGATTAGTAGTGAAGACGGCATAAGTAGCAGTCCTGATTTAGCGTGGAGGCATTCCGTTGCCGATGCCGTGCAGCCTTCGAATGATATTGAATTAGCGCAGACTCACGTGGTGCAAGCCCTGCAGATGATCATAGAACTGCTTCCCTTGACTGACTCTGATTCCTCCTACTGTGTAGATGGGGACATCTCGGTTAGTGAGGTACTGGACGAACTGCATCTGTTACTATAAGAATAGGCTGTGGCGAGGCAGGACTTTGTGGAGCATACAAGGGAGATAGGACCCTCTTTGTCTTTATTTGCGTCAGCTGTGTCGCTATCAGGTGGTTGTTTTTCTAATGAGGGGCTGTGAGAGAGGAGCCGTCTTGCCAAACATAGCCGACTGTGCCTGATTCGGTTGTATGTACTTTATAGAACAACTGTTATACTACTTAGTAATGGCATGTGTCAGAATCTATTCCTCTGGTATAACTCTACGCAAATTCCTTACTATCATGGCATGAGGCCTCAAAGACCGCCAGAAGCAATAGCGCCCACCATCATAAATTGCATGGCCCTCCTCCGATCAATCTCTTTCTTCAACATCAATAAACACGTCGCCACCAGCAAAGGCTCCTCCACAAATTTTGCCGCTTCCTCATCAATCAGCAACTGACCACCATTACCGGCACTCGATGGAGATGATCCGGCAGTTCTTGTCTCGCCACCACGGAGGAGCTGAGCGAGGACCTTTCCTTGCTCCTTCTTCGATTTGGCATCTTTCAATCGGAGAACGATTAAGTTTTCTTTTTGGCCATTGGAATCTTTTCTTTTTGTGTAATTCCACTCCAACTCCCAGCCATCGGGTGTTTTGAAGCTAGTCGCTCGCGAAGTCCATCTCGAAGAGACCCTGACGGGGAGTGATTTACTTTTTGAACCCTCGATCATGGAAATCACGGGATCACGCCCAGGACCAAAGAAATAGTCAGTGCGCACAAGATCTCCACGTTTAGGGTCCGACAGAATGGCGTTTCCTGAGCAGGTGGACTGACGGGTAGAGACGTAAGCGAGAGTACCATCTGCACTGTCGTAGATTGGGATCTCAAGCTCCCTAGACGGGAGAGGGAGACGGAAGGCAGCGATGCCCTGCGCGGCGATACACAGGGTACGAGAGGGGCGGAAGGAGGCAAAATGCTTATCATCAAGCGAATCACCTGTGATAGTGGAGCCCAAGGATAGAGCAGAGGATCTCTCGTCGTCGAAGAGTTCCGTTTCTTTTTCGGTCTGAGTAGGGAACATGGTCGTTAACTTCTCTAGAAGATCGTTGCGGTAGTGGAATAATAATAAACTTTGACCGGGATGTTCTGAAGTTTTGAGAGCGTTTTGCTTGAGGGGATTGACAGCGTTCAATCTATCATGACAAGAGAGCGCAAGGGCTGCTTATATATTTCAGATACGATAGGTAGGGCATACAGCATGTATGTGAGCCTCACACTTCGAAAATGGAAATTCGTACTGTATTCTTGAAGCTAGTCAACGTCATACTCTCAGCACGGGGGCTTAGCGGGTGATCTGAAGGGTAATCTCGTATTCGCTAGGATAAAGAGTTTGTCCCACTCCCACACATTCGCATGTTGCGGTCGGTGGCAATGCAAGCCTATCTCGTATCCCAAAACTCTCCCAAACTAACAGTTGAATGCTAAGACTGGCTGGGACCAGTCCAGCTGCCAGGTCAGCTCATGTGGTAGCTGATGATTGAAAAATCAGAGACCGCAAGGAAATTATACTGTTGGTAGCATCATCACCTTCCTCTTGCTTAAGCTATACTTTGCTTGTAATATGCCTAGCGCTGGTTTTTTCTTACAACCTGAACACAGCAAGTAGATAAGCCACAAGGTGGAGGCAAGTGGCGTTCAAGTTTCCTGACTTTCTTATATGAACCCAGGATGCCCATTGGTTAGTCAACTAACTATTCCATAATCTTCCTTTGAGACTTCTTGGCTTTCATAAGCTGCGCCACCAGGTAGTCTTGTGACAGGTACACAGGCGTTGAGGTCGCAGAATAGTTTGAAATGGAAAGCAGTGATTCTAGCGGCAAATGGGGGGCCCAAATACTTTTGAACCCCCACTGTAGTTAACAAGAGCGCCCGCTACCTCCACGAGTATCGAAACGGCATGCACACTAGGATATCGAATCATATCAGTTTCAGGGCGACAAATCGACAATATATGAGTGATTCAAAATGATTCAAACGAATATATAGATAACTGGACATAGGATCATGCAAATTCGAATCGTTGTCGCGGCTACATTGATTTACTTCGCATTCGTGGAGACCTTGCCCTACCCGCACGAGAGACTGACAGATGTTGAGCATGCAGAGGGGCTTCCCTCCCTCTCTTCTCCATATCCTGGCGAGAAATTGCAATCTCTTGGAGCGGTTGTGATAGCTCCTTTATTTTCCTCCTTTGTTCGTCCTTCAATACCCACTCGGTTTTCCCTCCACATGATCGCTCCTCATATGGGGATGTTCGCATCCAAGCCATCCACTTGCGCACCACGGCTATCGCAAGCTGGCGTGAGACCTCAAACCATTCATTGTGATTCCCTTTACACCCTGGACACATTTCTTCGATCCGCCTGCAGTTCTTCAACTCCGTGTGCACTAGCTTCTCCACGCGGCAGACATGGCTGACCTGTAGATGCTCCTCGTCACTCCCCCGTTTTGGAAAGTACACTTCCATCGGCTTGAGGCACTTGCGGCTCCATTCATTTACACGCTTGCTAATTTCATTTGAGTAGCCGATCTTGAGGTGCCCGAAGTTCCCTGGTTGCCAGTAGACATATACGCTTCCTACCCTCTCGATCTCGCTCTTCATGAGGGGCTTGACCAGAAGCTTTTCGAGGGCTTCCGAAACGGACAAACGTACGGAGGCCTTGGTGACGTAGGGTATAAACTTTTGGATCAAAGTAGACACTTGCGGAATATTGTTTGGAATGCTCTCTTGAGATGCTGGTGGGCAGATTTTCTCTACTCTTTCCAAGAAACTTTCCCCACCGCCCAGAGTATTGATCCAGTCGGCAAGGGCTAAAAGGCGATAATTTGTATGCGAAGCAACGTGCCCTTGATCTTCCTGAATATCGCATAGCTTGTCGATGTCTGGTTCCCAGGTTTTTAGCTCTTTCTGGGCGACACGTTGGTGCGCCGAAGAACATAAAGCAACAGGGATCAGAGCTTCCATGCATTGGAGCACTTCACTGGATTTGATGGTAGTCAAGCTGTCTAAGGACTGCATAATGATTGAGACATTTCCGCGGCGGCAATTCTTGCATCGTAAGCCCTTCGCTGTCTGCGCCGGGCAGCGTTGGTCGTCCTCTCTCAAACGCTCCCGAATTTCAAGCGGTATAATACTGTGAAGCGACTTTCGAACGGTATCTTTGTCCTTGGCAGACGTGGAAGCTTTCTGAATCGAGAGAAGAGTCAATACGGCTTTGACTGTGCCGTCTCCCGATGACATGCTCTTGCTACGTGGGTCATGTTCATCGTCTTTAATCTGGGCTGAGTCAATCTGATCATCCTCTGGAGGGGAAACGGTGATGGTCGGTACGATGGAATTGGAGGACGAAGGTTGGTCGGCACACTGATCCTGCGTGCAGGATACTACTGGATCCAAATGGAACTTTCTCGCGCCACCAACCTCGCTGGCTGCTCTCGGTCTTAGAATCCAAGTCCCTTCTGCAGAAAAATCCGTATTGATGTTTCTCGCCTGTTCGGATGTCCAATACTCGATCCGGATATGCCGAGACCGTTTCGGTGTCTTCTGTCCGGTCTGTATGGACGGCCATGTAATTCCCTCGAGGAACTTCCCCTGGTCGGAGACCCATGCATGAGTATCGACAGGAGAAGTTGAACTCTCCTTTCGCTTGCTTAACACAGCCTTGGTGGCATCCTCTGAACGTAGAGAAGAGATGCTGACTCGGGGTCTCAAACTCTTTGCTCTCTTCGACCGTTCCAATGGCTTGGTCGGGGAAGGAACATTGAAGGCTGCAATCTGCCCGGCTCGATCAACATCTCCCCCGGAGTCGTTGTCTTCTTCGGTTCGGGAGGACTCGAGGCTGTCTGTGTCTAGTGTGGTCGACAATGCTTGAACTTTGACTGGAGTATGCCAGCCATAGTCATCCGTGATATCGGTAGCGGTTGAGTGTGTGGGGCTGAACAGACTCTCCTCTGGCGAGGGAGGGGATGAAATGACACCATCGCTCGAAGCGCTGCCCAGGGGTGACTGAGTTCCATTGAGCGTGGCTTGGCGCGCGGGGCCCTTTATGGGTGTACTTGGTGGCTCTAAATTAAGCTGAATTTCTTCTCCTGACATGGTCGTTGCTCGAACTCCATGGAATTCAGAGAAGAACACTTCCCCTTTCCATAGTGAGAGTGGGCAATGAGCCTATAAAAGAGACCAAGGCCCTCCGGGCTTCGTGATGTAGCGCATCGATTGCGCATGAGCACGAGTCTGAAACAAGCCACCATGCCTGTTGTATGTGACTGGAATGCGCAATGACATAACCCACGAATCATTACGATTACACCGCCGGCGTCTCCGTTGGATGGGACACAGAAGTCTGCTGAGCAGCATCATCTAGCGCCGTTGATTCCTGGAATGACCAACTTCTCCGGGGGCTATATTGAGAACACTCAGAAGCTAAGACTGTCCTCGCAGGAGACCTAACGCAAGGGATAGCTCCCGTATCTTCACATGCCCAGTGCCTGGATATATTCCAGCGAAATAATACATACCGATAGGTCCGCGTACACGCCAATGAGATAATTCCCAGCTCCAACTTGTCTTTGCGACGGCCAATTTCATTCTCGATATCCACTGGACGTGGCTTTCCCCGCTCTTTGAAGGTCCAGCCTCGCGCGGCTGCGGGAGCAGCGGCTCTGGCCGAACCGAAGCACAGTGGGGCGAAGCGTTCCAAACACTCTCGCAACCCAAACCACGCCCTGCTCCACGTGATTGTCGTTAGAAAAGCCGATTTATACCAGTGTAACCTCACAGCATAGTATAGCATATCTTCAATGGCATTTTATAATTAACGCTTTTCAGGGCACAAAGACTTGAACTCAAATCCTCAATGGGTGGGATGATCTACATCTACACGAAACTACTTTCCATGGAAAATGACCGCAACTATAATGGTGTGAGGCTGCGGCCTGTATCACGACAGCCAGTGGAATGTGTGGCGCAGCGGACGGAGAGACAAACCAGTGTGGCGATCCAGGGTCTCACAATATCATTGCGTAGTTTAGCAAGTTGCCAGAACAGGCTAATCACAGGATCACACAGCACAGCCCTCGGCCACCATTAGCCCTACTATGCTAGTATGCTAATGTTAGAGCTACTATACTGTATAATGTTTGTCGATGGGTTCAGATGAATGTGATTCTTTTGCCCGATTGCGGAATCACAGTTTACAACCCCAGTTGTCAGTGACTATGCCAATTGCCTTGGATTAACCGTTTGATGATTGAATGCGTTACAGTGGCTTGCACCATTACTCAAGGAAGTGCGGTGGAGACGATAAAGGGAGACTGAGTTAGCATATACTACACTATTAGCCTGGTCCATAAGATAGCATGCCATGAGACAAAGCTACATAAACATAGAACAGGATCAGTAACAATCCTCTGCAATAACATGTCAGCCCTACAGGCAATCTGAAACCCAAGCAACAAGTCAGGCTAGTGGATCACTATGGTTTTATACCTGTGGGCTAAGGGGCCCGCAGAACAGAACTATAGGCAAACGACCAATATAGGGCCCTAGGCGAGACACAAGGTTCGCCCTTAAGAAGTGGGTTCAAGTACATTGGAGATACAAGAATAGTTAGAGTAGTGGTAGTATGCATATCGCTTGATTGCGAGTTGTCAGGGTAAATGAAGACATCCATCCAACCGAGTGCACTCTCCGCGTCCAGAATAGATAGATCACGACTTGTGGAAGTGAAGGCCACTGGGTTGAGTTAGGGTGGCCTGAATCTCAGGGACGCAGCTGCGTATTCTCAGCAGATCCATTGATTGTAGGGTACTGAGACGGGGAGGCAGCTGTCTGATTCAGCACATCTTCGAGGGTCGGCAGAGACCCTGACGAAGATTGCGGAAAGTTGGGGAGGCAAGGTGTGTTCGTTGGCGTTATCCATCAGGAATTCTGTCCATCCTGTTTTCTCTTCAGGAGAGCAAAGTGCGGGAACAACTAGAGACTCGGCAACTGATACGTGCGTCAGTATGCCGTTGGAAAAATAAATAATAAGTTACTCTGGGATGATAAAGGCGGGCTTGTCCAAAAATTTCTCCAGTCTCTCCGAGCGTAAAATCTGAAGATGCCTTTCCCTTCTTCGTCTGCAATCAAGCGTTCAGATAAAGGTACGCTGCTGCTGTATTTCCCTGCAGGCTTCACGCGGTTGGCTGGGATGGCTGAAGCTGAAGCCCTGAGGATAACGTCATGTGGCTTCTCTTATAGACACTCCGATCGAGAGGGGTAAGGCCTACATTCTGAAGCTTGTAATCTCCACTCTCCAAAATTATCCTTTTATGTGGAGTTCACGGAAGAGAAGACGGAGGACAATACCTCAGCAGCAGGAGGAGCAGCTCCAAATTGGATCCACACTATTATCTGCTCTAGCCTATAGATCATACATCTTCTTGGTAGAACAAAAGGCCTACTCAAGAGACTCGATTCGGCCCAGGACGTTATCGGTCCACTCTCGGAGTCTTCCCGGAAAACTCTCATCCTGTAAGGCGGGCGATAACTTTCCAGGCACACCCACAGGTTCATAATACGTGCCGCTTACCACCTCTGAGCTCGTGGCGGCCCATAGATGATTTCTGATCCCGGTAGTCACAGGCACACAGAAGAACGGTGCAATAGGCTTAGTCAAGCGTGCAAGGGTGCTTTCTTTCCACAATGACCTAGCCATGCCCGTAAGAATTCTTCCCGGATGTATAGCGACTGTTTTAATCTGTGGATAGTCGCGGCTGAGCACTTTCATTAGGCCAATGAGGGCTGCTTTGCTCTGGCCGTAGCGCTTTGGATATGGCTAGAAACAAAGTTAGATTCTATATTTTCTTTCCTATACGTCAAGCATAGAAGAGAGAAGCAAAAATACTGACCAGATTCGAACAGCTGGTCTTGACAAGGTCGAAATCGACGCCTTGTTTAGGCGCTGAAACGTGTCCCTCGCTTGACACAACAACGACACGTACATCGGCGCCGGGCTGTCGCTGCGTTGTGCGAAGCAGCATTGGCATTAGCAGGCGGGTCAAAAGGGCATGGCCAAGATAATTGACTCCAAAATGGATCTCGTAGCCTTCCATGGTTGTTGCCGGAGGGACGCGGATGATACCTGCATTCAAGATGAGAATGTCCAGGCGTTGTTCTTGAGCAGCGAACTTCTGAGCGCATTTTCGAACGCTATCGAAAGATGCAAGGTCCACATCGAGATAACGGATCTCGGTCGACGTTGTGACGGCCGTTTCCGAGGTGCGGGATATGGAGTCCCCGTAAGCCTCGGAATCAATCTGGTGGGTCAGAGCTTGTTTGGCGTCGTCGCTGCGTGGCAGATCTGCGATGTAGATGCGGCTAGGTCGGCCATAACGAGCCAGCGCTAAGGCCGTTTCTCGGCCGAGGTCACCTGCGGCGCCCGTGATGAAGATGACCTTGTCTGCCATCGACGGGATATCTTGCGCGGGGTCAAAAGCAGGAGCGCCGTCCCGAGACGCATCATTATGCGATCCAAATAGAACGACGCGAATCATATCCAAAATGTTACTCATGGTGAGAGCAAAGACCGTGATGACTAGAAGACCAACTATGAGGGTGAAGAGCATGACCTGAAGCCTTATGATTGTTCTGAAAACGGGTTTGCTACAGTCGGGGGTTCATGCACTTGGGTTGGGCGCTGTCTGACCGAAGGGAAGTGTTCGGAAGACTGGAGTCATCGCAATATAAGGGGAAAATCTTACGGCAATCAGGGAGGGGAAGCGCTGAAAAGGGGAAAGCCGCAGAGATGACTCTTTTCCCGACTGGTTGACGTGGCTCAACGGCATCAGCCTTGTCCAAAAGAGTTGCAGCCCAATGCCGCATACTCACCCATCCTGGTAGTAGTGAGATACATAACTAAGATTTACAATCAAAATTTTCGTTAACGATACATTGATCAATGTTATGTACCTTTTTATATCATGATTCCTGCAGGCGTAACTTGTCGGTCTCGCCGCCATGCTCTGATTATGGGATATTAACTATTGGCAGGCGAGCGGCGCGTGTAAGTGGAACGCCACAAAAATCTGCGCAGGTCACCATACAAAGTAACAAAAGTAATCCCAAATAATCTCATTCGGCAGTTTTCCCTACAAGTTTACACCTAGCAACAGTATAGTCTCTGTAAGAAGTTGCATTCAGAGTCCTGTCCTGACTCCTGACAAAGTAAGCTGGATGCAGCTTCCAGAAATTAAATAGTTGTCCATGACCAACGCCAGAATTCGGGAACGAACAGAGCTCTCTGCTCTTACCATCATTTACAACAGGACCAGGTTCCCAGTACATGAAGCAGTCTTGGATCACAATCAGCAGCCCATAATTACTTACAGATTGATCCCGATGGCAGAGCGAGATTCTGATGACAACCGCGGAATTGCATCGATGAACACACACGATGAATATTATTCGGCTCCACAGCCAGGACCTTAGTCCTGATATAATACTGAGCGGGCGGCTTTAAGAGGGTGTGTCCAGACTGTCTTGTATGACACGATACTAATTCAAGTAATACTACACCATACGTACAAGCAATCCACGATCGGTCACGCCGTATTTGAAAAGGTCCACCTCAGTCACTGAATGTCTTTCAGAACCGGCGAGATTGGCGATGGGGGCTGAATCCAATCAAAGGTCCCCAATGACTTGGTCAGCCATACATCACCAGGGCCATAGCCACCTCTTGGAGGTTCAGTGCCGAACAAAGTCCCGCTGAGGAAAGTGTGAGGGAAGCCAGGATCAAAGCTGTAAGCCGATTCAATCTTCGCAATTTCCTCGTTTGTCAAGGAAATACCGAGAGCGGGAAGGATACCCTTAATATGATCGACTTTCCTCGCACCGACAATAGGGAAGACATACGGTGCCTTCTGAAGAACATATGCCAAGGCAATTTGAAGCAGTTCCACACCCTTTGACGTGGCCACATCTTCAAGAACGCGGGAGACGCGTTTGTCATGCTCTGAAACCGGAATGAAATTTCTCCCTTCGTTCCTCTTCTCACGCTCTTTGAATCCAGCTTCGGTCTGGAATCGACCCTGATTCAAGGTGCCGTATGGGCAAAGGCCCATGCCCTCATCACGGCACATGGGAATAATATCCCGTTCAAAGTCACGCATGCCCGCACTCCACATCCCCTGGTAAACGACGAATTGACGCAGTCCATGATCCCGAGCGTACTGGTTGGCCTTGGTCACCACCCAAGCAGGTGTATCCGAAATGCCCAAGTATAAGACTTTGCCCGACACAACGAGGTCGTTCAGACTATGCATCAGCTCGGGAATAGAGACCGTGTAGTCCCACCAGTGCACGTACAGCAAGTCGATATAGCTTGTCTGCAGTTTGCGAAGAGACGCCTCCACGGAAAGACGCATCGATTTGGTTCCGTTTCCTCCATAATTCGCCTGAATGCGATCCTTGTGATGACCCTGGTAGCCCGTTGTATACTTAGTCGCGATCACCATCTGATCGCGGTTGTTGCGCGCCATCAGCCACTCGCCGAGCCAAATTTCTGATTGTTCCTCCCTGTAGGCGTTTGCGGTATCGATGAAGTTGCCCCCCTGACGGACGAAATAATCCAAAATCTCAAAGGCAGCTTCCTTGCTGCATTCCCCATACCGTTCCTTTGCTGCTTCACCGAATGTCATGGTTCCCAGGCATAGGGGAGAGACACGGACAGATGCCGTGGGGGCTAGCTGACGGTAACGACTCAGGAGCGGCGAGGAAGACATCTTTTTTCGGTTCAATGCAGGCCTGGTAATGGCTCGAAGAAAGAAGATAACTACTGCGATAGGCCAACCAAGATGTTGGATCGGGAGATCTTTATATCTCAGTCGTTTCTCAGTCAGTTACGTCAGTTACGTCATGTTTCATTTAAGTCCGCAAGCTGCGCGGTCATTCCCTAAATGCTGACTCCCGCAGATGTGTAATCACCGCTTAACGCCGTGGTTGGTTGAAGTCTACGAATTCGGATTATCTTCCTCATCATAGAATCTGTAATTGGTTGGAAATATTTCCCCTCTGCCCTACTAAACTGAGTGCCTGCCTGTATAACTACCTTAGTTAGATTCTGCTACGAAGTTCTTGCGAAGCTCTCTGAAATAGAAGTCGCTACTGTTTCAGCAAGTTTAGCTGGCCTAAGTCACCTCGATCAACGGATTTGGTCTAAATTCCACTATATTTGACCTATTCAGCGTATAACTGTCGTGAGGTTAGTTATAGATGTGACACCTATTAGGTAATTGACCGCAAGGTAAAACGACTGAAGGAAGCTGTAGCCATTTAATTGATAACAATACGACTAATCGGATCATATTAACAATAAATATATTACTCCGTAGAAATACACCTGTAAAAGCTTAATCTTTCACCGGACTGACGAAACGTCGTGTTAGTCCCTATCTAACTTCCAACTAAGAGTTGATTCCGCGCGGTGCCCAATCGGCATTAACCCTGGACATGATGCCGGGGAACATTTTCCGCCACGCTGCCTCGGGCTGCACTCCAACCAGAGATTTATGCTCATCTGATTGCCGAGGCTTGCATCATGTATTTTATGTTAAGCAGATCGCATACTGCTGGCAAACATCTTACGGGATTCCACTAGCTACCCCGCCTAACCCAATGGATATGAGTTTTGTTGAGGATCCCGATGAGTGAGCCTAGGCGTAATTGTTGAGAAGACGAAATCATCAATATCAGGACCAGTGGAATCAAACGGACAGGCATGGCCGTTCATGCTGCATTTCTGGGTTCAACTTCAATGACAGCGGCTGGCCATTTGGCTAGCTTTCCAGCTAGCGAGATCGTGGCAAGGAGCTATTAGCAGGGCGGGCTTTTCAACAAAGCAAACGAAACATTATGATGCAATAGATTGCTGTAGAAAGATCTTCAGTTTAAGTCCGATGCTTAAATCCACAGTATCTCCCCAGCTAGAATAAATAATGGCTGGCAGTAAGTATGGCAAGAGACGAAATCGGAATCAAAAGCTCGAAGACTTTTTCTTTGCAACCCTTCCAACTTTGTTTCTCTCATTGATCTCCTGCTATCTACCACAAGTATACTGGAGACTGTCATGGCGTCAAGAAAAGTCTGGTTGATCACTGGTGCCTCTTCTGGCCTTGGAGCTGCCCTGTCAATCGATGTTTTGAAGGCAGGCCACTCAGTTGTCGCTCTAGCCCGTAACCCTGACAAAGCGAGAAAGTCATACCCTGAAGTTGAGGAGCTTGGAGGAAACTGGGCTCAAGTGGATGTCACTGATGCCAACACCACAAAAGTGTTCGAGAGCTTGATAAAACAGCATGGGGGCGTGGACGTGGTGGTCAACAACGCTGGTTATTCAATTCTCGGCAGCATCGAAGATATGGCGTACGTCGCTAATATTAGGGCCAGAGGTGTTGATGAAAGTTAGCTAATGTCTTTTTGTTTCATCACCGTGCATAGTGAGGAAGAGTTTCATCAGCAGATCAACACCAACTTGTACGGCCCTATCCGTGTCTTGAAGGGGGTACTTCCGTCCATGAGGGCGCAATGTTCTGGCACTATCGTGAATATTTCCAGTGTTGCTGGCATGATGGGCCGAGCTTCCACAGGGCTATACTCGGCAAGTAAGTTTGCACTTGAAGGTACGTACAACGAGTCACGCCCAACCACTTATCTAGATTGCTTGATACCAACATGTTCTAGGGCTCTCAGAATCCCTGGCGGCCGAACTAGTCGATTTCAACATCCGGGTGTTGATTGTTCAACCAGGGGGATTCCGCACCGGTTTCTTGTCAGCATACGTTCAACCGAAGGCGGGAATGAACCCAGCCTATGCAAATACTGCAATGAGCAAGGCTCTTGACAGATACAGCACGATCAACGGCACTCAAAAAGGTGACCCTAAGAAAGCTGCAAGGAGGATTTTCGAAGCAGTGGAGATAGATGGCCTGGGAGCTAACAGCTCTCCTTATTTACGCATCGCGCTGGGATCTGATTGCTATCAAGCACTCCAGTGGAAGACCGATGCCTTAAAAGAGAATCTCGACGTCATGAGTGATATCGCTCATAGCACCGATTATGATTGATAGACAGAATCTGAGTGCATCCACAAGGCTCGAGACATAAATGTCCCTCTTGCGTGCACAACTCAGTGCCAGTCTTGCCAGCTGGTAGCGCTATCGCGGAAATCCCGGACCCTCGCAGGTTTCTGCGTACATTTAGTGGCTTGAAGTAAAGATCCAGGGATATTATATCGTATTAGTTACTGAAGTCCAGCCCAACCATATAATCATTATGTAACAAATTAGTTTTCTCATTATACCACCAGATGGTGGATATCACCCATAGCCCACTAGTTGCAGGTATCCAGCAGGCACTCTGTATCAAAGAAATGGAACCTCAGCTGCTGGTTTGAACCGAAAAGCCTGTCGCCTTTGGATATCCGCACACTTTGTTACCGTGACTACTGGCTCCTATTTCCCTACACCAAGTCTGAACTCAGGCAGATGTACTGGCATCCAATGCTCCAAGAAGGAAACATGGCTGGGAGAAGTCAGGTGTGGCAAATCCTGCGCATCACTACTTGCTCTGCAAGACTACTTGGCACCCCATTTGCGTGAGCCAACACATAGTAGAACATAGTGCTGTGACGTGCTCACGCTTTCCGTAAGAGAGTTGATGACCCCACTAATCAATGTAATGCAGAACCAGATACAATTTACCAGATTTACTGTATTGGACTCATCTGCCAGTAAATTCCTCAGAAAGCAGACTGGTTCTCCTTGACCGGGTCAGCCTACAATTACCACTAGGCGATTTTGTTGATTTGTGATCCAGAAATGAACTGGGAGAAATCTAGTCTCCCGAATGCAGATCCTGATAGCAGAGTGGGGTGGTCTTTCTTAGTGTTCGTCATATTTCTGTATGATTGGACGTCGCGCATATTCAGCCTAGCTGAGGACGATCTAGGCCATTTCTAACGGACGATGGCCGACTAAGGACACTAAAACACTGATTTTATATGCGGGCAACATATTACAGCGTGCACATAGTCGAGCCGGATTCGATGGACTATGATGACATGTGAAAAGTAACCACTTTCCTGATTGGTTCGCTAAAAGATGTTGATCACATTCACGTTGGAATTCACCTTTACGCAAACTACTCAGCGTAGGTTTTGGAACGGGGAGCATTTGCATCGAACTGACTCCATAAAACCGATGCAAAGTTCAAAGCTAATCCTGCAGATACTTGTCTTTCAGAATAGCGATAGGACCGTTACAGAGCAAAGAGTATTAGATTAAGCAGAATCGTTGCGGCCCATCAACTCTTTATACTCCCCAAATTCAGGCTACATGCAACCACTGTCGAAACCAGAGGACCGCGGCATTCTTCGCTCTCTCCATTCCCTTGCGTTCCGCTGCGTTTTTGGGGTCACCTCGAGATGCAAAACCGTGCTCGAGGCCTGGAAAGTACTGGTAGTCATATGGTACTCCCAGCTTCGGAATTTCTTGATTACTGAAAAGTTTCAGTTCTCCAGTAAACATAGGGTCAAACTCAGGGGCCAAAATCTGCACTGGCACCGCAACGTTTTCAATCTCGGACTTCTCTAAGCGAGATGGATGGGCAGTAGAAATACAGTCGACGAGCTTGTTACCCTTCGCTCCCAAACGAAAGACTGCCCATCCTCCATAGCAAAACCCTATTGCTCCTGTCCGCGTGTGCAGAGAGCGGAGGGCATTGGCACATCCAAGGATCTGAGGCTCTCGGATAGGCTTCGAGTTGCGCTGCATGAATGAGGGTAGATCGATCTTATGCCACTGACTCTTATCCCGCAGGATATCCGGTGGAAGGACTTCGCCGCCAAAGCTGTCATCATTATGAGCAAAGATATTCTCTCGTCTGAGGGAAGTATAGGAGAATTGAGCATTACAGATCGGGTACGTAGACTGTGGCGCCAACCTCCTCCGCGTAATGATCCGCCAGAAGTCGAGTATTTTTGAAAGTCCAACCAAACGCATCATGCAACACCAGAATTCCCACTTCAGAGTCCGAGCCCGTCACATAACAACTTAGACCTGCAAGGGTGGTCTCTCTTCCCTTGACCTCAGCATCCCACTGAAACCCTTTCAGGCAGCAATCAGACATATTTCAGAGAGGTGAATTAAAATAATGGGCGTGATAGGAAGGCGAGTGGATTCAGAACTGAAAAGTCGGCAAAGCAATTGAACACGGTTAAAGATGGAATTTGGGGCTGTTCTTATAAGCTTTCAGCGACCTGCCAGGAAAACGTAGCCTTTTATGTGGGGGCTGTCTGATTTGGAACCATATGCATTGCCCTTTTAATGCTCATAAGCTAAACTCCGGGGTCCACAGTTATCACCTCTTATCTCCGATTTGATCCTGGAGACCCGGCGAGTTGGACCCGCAACTCATCACCGTCATCGGTCGAGTGTTTTTCCCGCCGTTGTGCAGGAATGTTTGAAGGAGAAAACCAACGGGAGGAAACACTACAAAAAGAAGAAGGGCCCCAGTGTGTAGCTTGTGTGAAAGCTGGATGGGCATGTCCAGGCTATAGTCGTCGCTGGCGATTCGTTGATGAGATGGATGGATTGAAAAAGCTCTACTCCAAGAAGAGATATATTTTTGATGAACAATGCAATGATCACTGGAAATCCACTTGGGATGGCCAGGAAATAGTGCTCTGGGACATGCAGCTGAACACGATTGGTGCGCATAATGCGGCCATGTTCATCTACTTCCTGGAAAACCCGCGAACCCAGGCGGCTTTCCCCCTTGCATACCATGGGAGCTTCTATAGACATATTCCTAGCCGGTTAGGCCACAATATGGCTCTTGACTCAGGAATTTCGTGTCTTTGCAGTATCTTCATCGAGCGTTTGACAGGGCAGAACACCACCACTGCGATTCTCGAGGAGTATGTGAAAAGTCTACGAAGACTTCGTCGAATGCTGAACGATTCCAAGTCAAATCAGGATGCAGAGACACTATGCGCCTCTATAATATTACAGCTATGTGAGGTATGTTCCGGGCTGTCAATCACAGTTACAATGCTGGAAAGCTAGTCTTCTCTGACCCGGCTCTTTCATCAGCTCCTGATTAACACCGACTTTGGTCGGTGGATTGATCTTTGCCAGGGGTCTAAGCATCTCATCCAGCAATGGGGACCCGACAGATTTCGTGATCCTTTTGAAAGAGAAATGCTTGAGTCGCAGGGTGGTTTTATCGTAAGTCTCCGAAAAGGGCCGCATTTTCCTGCATAAGTAATTGAACACTTGTTTCCACAGATAATACATGACATTATGGCATGCCGGCCGTGCTTCTTGGCGCAGCCAGAGTGGCGTCAGCTTCTTCACAACTTACAAGACGGCATTCTGTTGCGGCTCCAGCTATGTAACCAATTAATAGACGTTCCCACTCTTCTAGCAGAAACTTCTGGCTTGCTAGATCCTACGACGGACAAGGAAAAAGGGTGTTTCCCATTTACCCAGTTCATGGACATCAACAGCCGCATTTTGATTCTACATAGCCGTTTTGAAGCATGGTGTCTGGTAAATTTATGGCCGCGACTTAGGTCTAATATGTCTCCTGACCCAACTACACCCCGTTATTTGGACCCTCTTTGTGCGGTTTTGGACTTCCTGTCGAACCTGATACTTGCCCTACTGGAAACGATGTGTTCTAGGTTGGCAGTTTCTCGATTGGACATAAAGGGATCTGGGTCAGAATTGCCTTTAGCACCTTCTCCCGCGAGATACGCATCTCTGGAAGCAGCAATATCATACATGAGATGCTGCTCTAGGGCAGGGGCAAAGCCTTTGGAATACGAAACCTACCGGCTTAGGACTTCTAGTCTGTGGGCACTGAATACATAATATTAGGTCGTTGAGTAGTTTTCACCGTCTAATCCGGAGTTCTGAATTTAAGTTAGAACCAGTTGTTCTCATCAAGATGTTTGTACGGATATTATCTCACTAATATTGCTGAACTCAGCGTTACCAACTGTTCTACAGATGTTGATGAAGGTTCACCCACAGGGTTGTTGTTGCACAATGTTATTGAAATGGATAGCGAGTTAATATGAGATAGGTTATCTGGTTATTAGCAAACAGCCGTACTCAGCTGTGCTAAATACACTTTCAGGAACAAAAATATAGAAATACAGCAATATCTGTAAGTGATCTCATCCATGTTTTGGATTTTGGCGAAACAAATCCAATGGCCGTGCCGAGTCCAGCTATAACCTGCAGTATCCCGAAAAGATGCAGGTTTAAGAACTTTCCTGGGCCGCAGTTTCAAGCATCCCCAGGTTAGAAACATACAGCTGCCTGCGACCCCATAATTGCCGTAGCCTGGTGCAGTCGGATAACACCGTTTGATTTAAGAAGTAAAGGGAGGGTTTTCAACATCCTAGGTTCCTGTTCTCTGAAGAAACACGGCATTCGTTCCCTGCGGTTATTTTACCCTGCTCAATGCGTCTGGGATTTGGCCCCTGATCTCCTCTTCATTTCACCTGAGCGCTTCGAAATGATCCGGTTTCCCTGTCAGACTGTGGCTCGTGGTAGATGGACAAGAGAATTGTCTGAAGGAAGCTAACACGTCATGGCACACTAAAACCAAAAGGCATGCATTTTATGCTACCTTGTTTGCTACACCACTTTAGCAGAGCAAGGCCTAAAATAGGACAAAACAGTGCTGTAGCACTTGCAACATTACGCTGGCAACACATGGCGACAAGATAAAATAGGCTATCAATCCAATCCATTCTCCGAGACTAATGAGCTGGCTCGTCTAGCACACCATATGAATAAGCCTTCACTCCGAGTCGTCCAAAAGGACAGATAGATCCTACAGCGATCAACGCTGATATACCACGGAGCCCTTAAGTGAGACTGCGAAAGGAGGAGAGTACGTGACCGCTCGCCTTTACCATATCTCCCGAAGCAAGGCTTTCAGAAACCCGTCTTTCTTAGCGGCTCTTTTCGGGAATATCTTGTCATGCTCCTGTGTATATTTCCTAAGCGCTTTAAGACTGGGGAATTTTCGAACGACGGTTCCCGCGCGGCGCGCATCTATCAAATCCCATAGATTCACATGAACCTGCGAGAGTGCCTTTTCCCAGATTGTCAGCGGTACATGCCAGCATGGTAGCAGAATTGGACCCAACCTTTCGACATTGCGTTATAGAAGTTGGGACCTCCAATTGCAGCTCATGGCAAAGAGCCTGCCAGTTCTGGAGCCTGCCATCTGCTCCGAAGTGGCGATTGAATTCTGATGCAGCGAAACTTGCCCTTTCTCTTCTATAGGTCTTGGAATGGAGGCTCCAGTTCATATGGCGTGCTAGACGAGCGAATTCGCTAGTTGCGGAAGCAGATGGGTTGGGCCGAAAGCCTGAAAAGCGATGAAAATAGTTCTCCTCCATGATTAAGTAGGAATGACTGAGGCGCCAGACACCTGTCTGTCTGCACGGCAACCAGCCACCTGCCTTGCACCGGCTGAGCCTAAATACGCGGTCGACATGGAGAAAGAAGCGGGGAAGAAGCCACGGAAATGCGGAAGGGAATGGAACAAGTCATTCATTCTCCTTGAGTTGTCGTGTCAACCTATCAATTAACAGGAGAAAAACAACAATACCATATGTACGGTCTTTTCTGGAGGCTGTCAGTCTGGCATACCATTGCTTCGTGGCAGACTGGGCGCATATTACCATGTGTTCGATGGAAGGGAGCGTCGAGTCGGCCCCAATAATAGCTTGACACATCACGGAATGTTGTAGCTGGAGAGCGGTCCAAGCCTACCTCGCAGATATGACAAATAAAAAGATATCATTTGATCATGAAGCGTAGCAACATTATCTATTTGAACTTTGAATGAGTGGGAAAGGATCTTGCTGGTGATTAGAGGGAGTTACCAAAGGACTGCACCCCCTGCTCACCGGCTGAACGTCCAGCAGGCTGAGAAGCTCAGATCAAGTGTCCTTACATGCTGGGCGTAACCATGACCGGTACAGTAACCAAGTAACTCAACTCATGCTTCTGCTTTCTTGCATATTCTAGCATCGAGTGGATTGGCCGACGTTGACCAAGCGAAGGATAAACGCAAGATTAAACCAGTTGGTATTCTAAGTACCATAAAAACTTTCCATATATATAATTCAACGTGTCCGTTGACGCGGGCTTGAGAGGCTGTACACCATGCACTTAGTTCAGGGTAATGCTATGCTTGAGTGGCCTTTGCCAGTTATCCTCTCTGCAGATATACTGATTTAGAAATTGTGGATTGCGGGAAAGTCACGAAGGGGACGGGACGGGACGGGACGGACCAGCCAGACGGGACTTACCACTAAAGGACGGGCCAGGGAGGAAAGGACTGCAGGGTATTATAATTTAAGCGGACGGTGTTATCTTCTCTACATGGAAATTTACTGTTCGCAGCGCTATCTGCTCGCCCTATATGATACAATGTAGCGTAAGTATCTACTGTTTGCAGCCTCAGCTCTACGTTACATGACGTAGCATATATACATATACTGTGATACTTGAGTTAACAAGACCCTTAACTAAGGCAGTCTCTGGTTTTCTCAATACTTTATCAATCAAGCCACCTACCGTTTGCAGCGCTATCTGCCCACTCTATACAATACAATGAAATATGAGTACATAACGCCAGGGTTTATTATTGACGTCACAGGATCCTGAACCTTAAACCTAACCCCATGATAGTTGTTATGTAGTATCTGCCTCTTTTTGTAGCCTGTCAACCATATTGTATAAAACAGAGCCTCCAGCTCTTCGAAGATCTCGCCCTTTGTCAGTCATATGACACCCTAATCGGCAATAGTAGATTTTCAGTCTCCGTTGTATACCATGCGTACAGCGCTGAGGCATTAGGAAATTTCGGTCGGCAAAGAGCGGTTTATGGGCGGTGAAGCTGAGGGAGATGGCTTGGAAAATGCAAGAATAGATGAGATTGCAAAGTTTGTCTCGAGGTCCCTGATTTCCAGCAGTGCGGGTGGCGCCTTTGTTCACAATTGATGCTAAACAAAAATAGGTGGAAGATATTGATAGGAAGAGGCTTCGTAGATTCTATAAACTACAGAAGAAATCACATAGTTGCCCGCACTGCATCTTTCAGCTACAGACGAAAAGTAACCAGAAATTCAAGCATCCGTATTCCTTGGAGGCAGCAGCTCCCACAGTTGAAGTGGGGTCTGATTTACCAGGGCGAGTCATTCTGGCCAGCAAGGTAATGAGTCTCATTATTTCTCTGGACCCAATTTTGTATATCTTTCAAAGGAGCCCTGGTATCTTTGTGGTCCTTATATGCGCTTGCTTTGAAACCGTAAATAAGACCATCAACTTGTGCAGCCCCAAGGAGAGCGTTGGCAAGTTTAGCTTGATCAGTTGCAAGCGTCCAGCCGAAAACTTTACCGAACTTCCCCTCATCTCTCATTCTACCTGCCTTTCTCAACTCGGTACAGGTATAATAATCCGATTCAGAGCAATTTCCAAACTCAAAATCAAGCCAAAAATAGCCGTAGTCCGCGACCCTCTTTTCATTTTGGATTTTAGTCCCACGGCGTTGAAACGCGTTATGGACATTGGCTGCCCTGTCGTTGATGCTGACTGCTTCAAGGGAGTTAAGTTCGTCGCGAATGACGCCGAATGCCCTGCCATTCACATGGCTTCGGGAAAATCCGTACAGAACTCGCACACCCGATCCTTGCAAGTATATCCTGGACAGGTCCCGGAGTCCTTCGATCGCGTTCTCGTCGGTGCTATATTCGTCTGGTTTCTTCAGATCTAACCAGACGAAGTTAATTGTCTTGCCGTTTCGGCGCTGGTCTTCAATTGCTCTGAACATATCCACTGCTTTGTCTCCGGGACTGGTGACTGTGCCGTCATGGTCACAATACCAGCCCTGGCGGCCCCATGAGCTCCAGCCCCGCATATCAATTTCAAGAGCATTGGCGCCATGGGCTACCGCATCCTTCATTCCCTGAATTGTCAAGACTCTATGGGCGATGGCAAAAATTGGTTTTCGATCCGTATGATATTCATCGGACTGCTCCTCATATTCGAAAGGATAGTCTTGCCCAAGAGAAAGCTGCGAGGAATCGGTGGAAAAGTCGGAGTCCGTAGACGGCCAGGGAGACTCATCACTGGTTCCCTCTAGTGTTGACCGGGAAAGAGAATTCGCGGCGAAGTCTTCCTCTTTAGGCCGCGATACAAAATTTCTAGTGGGGCCAGTTTCCTCGGACTGCGGAGAGCCATCAATGTCAACGGGCTGTCCGGGATTATTGAACTTGACATTGGACCTAACAAGCTGCGTTGGGAAGCCAGCAGCAAAGTCTATGCTAGCAAGCCACGCAGCTGCACATATAACGTAAACAACGTGCCGTAAGGACATCTTTCGGATCCTTCGGAGTGCGATAAACAGCAGGCGTGGACTGAAATGATTAAGGCTTGATGTTACTTCTTGAGGAGCTCCTTGAAGATATAATTCATGTGAATCTATCGGAAAGGGCCTTGACAGAACAGACAAGCTCACCCTTAAGTATTTCAACCCCTGTCGTACTGCGGGAAAAACCGGATCATTAAACTGAAGTGCGCCAGATCGACGTACTAGTGCTGCAGTGGGCCAGTGGTAGACGTCACCAGCTTTGTGAAAGACAAAACGGAGTCACCTACATCGTGACGGTTCTCGAACCCACTAATCCTCGGGTGTGGATGCAATATATCAGTCCATTGAAGATGTGTTAGTGACGTACCCTTGAGCATAATGTAGGAAGTTTTGAGATTATTGTCCCAATCCAGTTGGACAGGAGCAAGACGTGAGATCTCAGAAAGCTCTAGTAGCAGACGTGTACGGACAAGCAGATACCAGGCCACCCCTATCTAGTGAGGTAGTCTTTGCTGAATAGTCCCTTAGGGAACTTACTGCGTACCTGGATTAGCCTAGTAGACTACGCTCGCTATCAGTAAGACTCTTGAAGGAGAGCTATTCAACTGATTCGATTGCGCTGTTCCCAACCTCCCCTCTCACGGGCACGGAGACTTACATATCTAGCCATCCATTATCTAGTATTTCCTTCGCTGTAGGACGGTCGCCAGTGTCAGGAAGTAAGACTGTTTCCAGGAGATGAATGCCCTCCTCTGGAAACCGCAGGTATTCCGGTATCGATTGTATTGTTCTATCTTCTCGTTCTGGATCCAACTCTGGCCAGCGGTCTTTGCATTGTTGATCGTTGCGTCCAGCAGAATATTTTGAGCTTTGATATCTGAGGGTCATTCGTCAGAGCTTCAAGACATAAAAAGCGAGGTGTCTTCAATGCGAATCTAGATGGGTGACCCCCTCTGCATGTAACTCCTGGATGGCTTTAAGGGCGTCTTCCATAAATTTTGGATTCCGGCGAAACCAAAAGTAGTCAGACGTACGTTTTCACGGGCTTCCCACAGGAAACCATTCCAGCACCATTCCATGATCCGTATCACTCTCAGTTGGGTCCTCGATGACGTCTTGCTTGGTCAGTACATGCTTCAGCCCCTTGATGAGCTAGCATATCAGTCAGCATCCTAGTCTTCCTCGATGGGAAACTATGAATCCAACCGTCTCAGACCAGCAATCTTGCTAAATCTACATCACATTTCATGAATGGCTCTTCACATTCCATCATGAATAAGTGCTGAATGTGTGTCCTGATCTCCCGTATAGCACTTATTATGCCATGTGTCTGTTGCTGTATCTGCCGCCAGCGGGCTAGGCGCAAGGAAGGAAGAATGGAAGAAGAATTTACGAGGCAGCGGGAAGGTGGCTGTGAATGAAAGGCGTCCTACTATTGAGCTCTGATAAGCACGCTGGACTTCCATGCTCCGGGCCTGATAACAAGTCCAAAGAGTGAAAAGCCAGAGGGGCCCGGAAAAATAAAGAGGAGATATCAGAGGAGCGTGAAATAGCTCCCTATTAACAGCCTTAGTAGGGTTCAAACTCCCTGCCAGATGCGTAGGACTGCATGCAATCTGCCGAGCATATTTCCATAGGAGAGATCGGCTCCTCCATCTCGTATTCTTGATGGCGCCAAGGGAAGCTCGAGTCTACCTACTGGGGAATTCATCGTACAATTTGATCCCGCTCGCATTTTATCCCCCTTTTTAGTTAGCTTTGTCGTAATATTATTAATAATAGACTGACTACAAAGTACGCTGTGACGCTCCAGAGGCAAAGGATGTAGATATATTGTTTAAAGGGGATACCCTCAGCTTCAACTTTGCTTTATCAATCCAACTTCGAATGGCCATTCCTTAGGGACAGATTCTTTTCTACCATTCTTTTGTCACTCTTTTCATACATTCTTGTCACTCATTCTTTTTCTTTCTTTCAAGGAAAATCTGTATAATAATCCACTGATACCAACCCCTAATCATCCGATACAAATCCCACGGCAGAATGCTCTCCAAGCTACTGACGACGGTCTTGCTTCTGGCTACCCAAGCCTACGCAGCAGATGTATCCAAGCTCTTCCACTACGAACTGGGACTCAACGGAACTGCCCACCAAGCAGAATTCCAGTCTCGCACCCACGCCGGATACAGACTTACCTACGTCAACGGGTACTACTCTCCGGAACACAACCAGACTCTCTTCTCCAGCATCTGGGAGAAAACAGGCACTACCTCCCCCGCTCCCTGGATCAGTCGACACGGCGTCACAGCTACCCAGTACAACGATCTCTCCACCGAGCTCTGCAGCAAGAAATACCATCCCGTCGTCCTCAACGGGTATAACCTCCCAAACGGCAAAAGACGCTTCGTCACAATCTGGGAGCAATCTCCCATCGGGGTCTGGAAACAGGCTGTGGATCTGTCCATTGACCAGCTCAAGGAAAAGGTTGCCAGCCTGGCTCCCCTACGTCTCACCTCGCTCAGTGGCTACACGATCAACAATGAACTGCGCTATTCGGCCACGTGGGGGGAGCGCACGTCCTCGGACTGGAAGGGGGAGTGGCTCTACTATGCTAATCAGACGGGTGTCGTGCAGGCGTATCCTGACGAATGGAAGCCCACGTATCTTCATGCGCATTCAGTGAATGGGGAGCCTGTGTATGATTCGGTTTGGGAGAGGTATACGGGCCGGGGATATGGTGCTCAGCTTTGGTACTATGAGGATAATGTCACTGCGGAGGGATACAAGGCGTTTTTCAACAGCATGACCAAGCAGGGATATAAGCCTAGGATGTTGACTGGGCATTATTCGAAGGAGTGTGGTCTGCGATATGTTAGTGTCTTTTATTGAGGCTTCTGTGCCGGCGAAGGACTTGTCCTCGACTATTGTGTCTGTCTTGAGAAAGGAAGGGATTAACTTGAAGATGAAGACTCTATTTAATAAAGCAAGGTCATTAAATTGCGACATAAGTAGTCTATAGTCATAATCAAGAACTATACAAGGACCTATACTCGCTAACAAGAAGAAATTTTAGTTACATGCACACGCCAATGCTCACGGTGGCCATCTTGTCATGAGATGGAAGGGATCGAAGCGGAACTTGATGCCGTTAACATCAAGCAATGCAGAAAAACCTCTCCAAAACTGCAATCAATGGATAGCAATATTTTTTAGAGTTCAATATTCAAACATTCCAAGCTACATGGCCTGGCATATGCGGCCCTCCGAGGCATCGGTTTGACAAGTCACTGAAGAGTGTTAACAATGATTCTCTGATCAATGACAAATCCTCTATTCAATGCTGGATGAAGGGAACTATGTGCGAGCATTACGCATAATCTGACATATTAGCCTGCTCTGTTTCCTCCTGGCCTGCCCGCTGTTCCGTAAGTGGCGTGGATGTGCGATACCAGACGGCGATTGCTTCGGGGCGGTTCATAGGCTGGCAAACGACGAGTTCGAGTAGATGAGAATGAGACACGCTGTAATGAGAATTTGGTCACGAGTCCAAGCAGCTTCGAGACTCCTGCGAGTATCTCGTTATTTCCTGAGGCATGKGGAGCAACCTTAGGCACCACACAAACATGGGATCACGTGGACCTAAGGCACTCAGCCAACCATTTGAGACTTCCATTGCATTTGCTCTAAGCCTCTAGTCCTGACGGGAGATAATCAAAGGGGACTACGGTCGATAAGGAATAGGGTGAAGTCCAGACGCTACCAAAGTGGGGCAAATGACTCCCACCGGCCTACCGGCTGTCAGCAAAGTCGGCGAGCTCGAGGACAGCTGGATTGCACAGAACAACTCCGCCCACCATTTTGTCCCTGACTAAACCATGTTTTGTCTTCATCCAACCACCAACAACAACAATAATAATAATGGTAGATTCAAATTGCACCAAGGGTCCAGCGGGCTCGGACTCTGGTGTACGCAAGTTTACGCTTTCGTGTTCTCGATGTAGGGCCTCAAAGCTAAAATGTGACCGCAAAGAACCATGTGTCAGTTGCCATTACCTCCATGCGATTCATCTATTTGAGGCTGGAGGCTCATCTTCTCTTTCCAGATGGAATGTATTAAGCGCAACATCGGCCATCTTTGCACCAAAGATGAGCGTCAACCAAGAGCCAAACGATCAAAAACTGAGCACAAAGACAAGACCGCCGCCAAGAAGTGAGTGGAGCTTGTCATCACTTGGTTATTGACAGCTATCAACTGATCCTTACCTTATCAGTGGTCCACCAGCGGATGGGGACGATGAAGCCGAAGCAGAGGAAACAGCGCGACTTTTGGAGCATTTCGTCGAAGGAGTTCCTCGTCCAAATGCATGTCTGCCCGGTTTCTTTGGGCAAACACCATCGTCAGTGGCGCCAGACTTTCCGAACCGGTATTGGTCGAGTAATGACCCCAAGCGACATGGTGAAAAGCTCGCCTTGATCCGAGAGATTGTCGACGCGATGCCGGAGCCGGAGATGATTCATGTTCTTTTTCAAGTCTTTGTCACTCGTTGCCAAGGTCCCTTGGGGAATGTGGTCCATACTCCGACGTTCATGAAGCAAGGTGAACAGTTTCGCGATTGCTTAAGTCTTACTTCACCGGACTCGCGGGTCTTGGCCATATCCAGGACAATTTCTATGGAGACACTGGGCTGTTTCCTCTTGGCGGTACGTGTAGTATACACTCCCCTGGAGGCTTCTGCTCACATTATTGTTCGATCCTAAGCTGGTACTCGGTCTCGCTTTTCATCCTTCACCTTCTCTACTAGGTTGGACTCCTACGCATTTTGCTCTACGTGTGGAGGAGTTTAGAGCATCCGATCTGCGCTCCAGGACGTGGAGGTCGCTGGGCTTGCGCTGTCTCCACGACGGAGTGTCTTTCTTTTGTGGCTCAATCGCCGGTTTACAGGCCGCAATTATGCTTTTGCTGGACGGCAAGGAGGGCTTGTTGGCGCTGGACGCTGTTCTGGTCACTGCGATTTCTGGAGCCCGCAAACTCGGTCTGCACCGTTTGGGTGACATCAAGCTGGACGTCTCTGAAGCGCACTCTGTACCCTTGGAAAATGGCACGTCATCACCTGCGGAACAGCCGCATATTCGAACGGAAATAGGTATTCGCATTTGGTAGGCTACCTGGGCAGAATAATCTTGAGTCGAGCTCTGACGACTGCGTATAGGTGGGCGCTCGTACAAAGAGATTGGTCGCGCGGTCAGGCCCTCGGCTACTACACCGTGCATCCATCGCATTTCAACACTCGGATGCCGTTGCACATCGATGATGATGATCTCTGTCTGTCGACGTGGAGGGTAAGTGTCAATGGCGAAATCACGGAGCGGCCCCGTTCCGAGTTCACGATGCTGTCGTACACTGTCCACGCCCATGAACTCGCCACCATTGTACGCGAATCTATCGATCTATGGGGATCAGTGACTCAGCAGCCCGATGCGACCACTGAATTGGCCAAGTTGCGCAAACATCTCAACAACAAGTACGAAGAGTACATGGCGGGTTTGCCGTCGCATTTTCGATTGGGAAGCACTGTAGGCCTCACGGCCACCGGTCCAATGATAGCGATCCCCGTGCACCGATGGATGTTGCACCAGCAACTCTGGAGCTTACTCCTGCGACTCCATCGAGCCAATCTGTCATCTCCGATTTGCCGTGCTTCCTGTCAGCTTCTGGCCCAAAACATTATCGGCACCCAAGCTCAGATCCAGTTGCGATGCGCTGTTTGCGGCACGCTGTCGACCAGCGACACCCAGCTATTCAATGCGGCCGTTGTGTTGCTCCTCGATCTGCTCTTCACGCCCAAGCAAGCGGATGCGGACAGTGCCAGTGCACACCTCAGCCGAGTGATGACTCGCGACAAGATCAGGGAAGCGATCGAATTATTACGGACCAAGAGCATAACGGAAGGGTCGTCTCTTCAGGATCTCCACTTGGAGCAAGTCAAAGGGTCTGCTCAGCGCGGTGTCGTTGCTCTGGAAGCCTTGATGAAGCTTGAAGAAGAAGACTCCGACAATAGCGCTAAAAGCTCCCTAAGGCTCAAGGTTGCTGATATTATCAGAGGGTTGAGCGGAAGCGTCAACCCTGCCACCGCACCCGCGCAAGAGCAGCAGGGCTCCTTTGACGGCGTTTCGCCGTGTGATGTTTCGGTGCCATTTGCCAATGTCTCTGAGGGGTTCCCTGACTTGGGCGTGCTGCCGATTCTGTCCAATGGTCTCAGCCCTAATTTTTGGCAATTCTTGGACTTTCCCCCGCCCCCATTTGATGATCACACTAAGGAGGTCTCGTGTGCTACTCTGGGGTACTTGCCTGGCCCCCTTGAGGCGAGGACTTGTCAATTTGGCGATTCATATAGTAGTACTCCTGGCACTCGTATGAATGACACATCTCCGTCTCTGCAGACTGAACTGATTGGAACGGGTGGAGGGAGTCACTCCGCCACGACTCCTTCGAGCGCCGATGCCTACGCCGCTGAGTTCTATTATGCCATGGGTGACGGCGCTGTGGCCTCTATGGGACGCTAGCTATCTAATCCACATTTTCGTATTTCCTTCCTTCCTTATCAACCCCTACGATCATGAAGTTTATATCTGCATGGAAAAGGTACACTAGCATGTTCATTCAATTCATTGAAAAATCAAGTACGAAAAGCAACGTCAGAGGGAATTTATCAATGCGTTGCCGTCTGTTCCAGGCAAATCCACAAAGGGATCATCAGCAGGATCCGAGTGCCAGCGGTATTCCAAACTAAAGGCAACGGAATGCGCATGATGCAGAGCTTTCTCCTTGCTGAAGCCAGTGATGGCTCTCTGCTCGCCCTGGGGAGAAGCCTTTTGAGCCTCAGGATAAGCCAGGCGGTTCTCGGGCACGACATACGTGCTAGCCAGGAACGCAAAGCCGGCGTCGATGCCCGCCGTGACACCCGAGGAAGTCAGGAATTTCCCGTCCTGCACCCAGCGGGCACGTTTCTGCCATTGGACACCGGGGTCTAGCGAATCGATCAATTAGCATGTGCTCTTGAAGTCCGAAACCCAGACGGGGCCATCATATCATACACTTCGGAGTCAGCTCATCGTACAGCCGCTTGTTCGTCGTCGCCTTCCGCCCATCCAGCCGGCCAGTCGCAGCCAGCAAGATGGAGCCGGTGCACACGGTGAAGACATTGGCGGCGCGGTCGACCAGCTGACTGATGCGCTGCAGCAGGATCGGGTCCCAGACCAAAGGCATCATGCCGAAGCCACCCGGGATGAAAAGCGTGTCAAACTCCTGCTTCTCTCTGAGGGCCTCGGCCAGCGAGAGGGTCGGGATCACGCCGATGCCGTTCTTTATGGAGGTTTCGAGGCCATGTGGCGAGTCTAGGTTGTGCAGGCTGACTAGCTCGAGAGTGTAGTAATCGCTTCGGGGGACGATGGCGCCCAATGGGCCGAAGAGATCGAGAGCTTCGAAGTCGTTGAAGACCAGCGAGAGAATGCGGTGCTGAGTCGGCATTTCACTTTAATCTATTTCTATTTTCTGATGCAATGGAAAACGAAGGTATTCCAAGTGGTCTGAGTCGAGGCTGAAGATGGAGTACCACTATCTCACCTCGGATGTCGTCTTGGGGCTTCTTGGTATTTGTACCTTTCTGATGCTAAGAGTCGTAACTCGTAATTGGATTCCGGGAACATGGAGAAGACCTAAGGAATTTTCCTCGGCGCTCTGAGAGCAAACGCGGATTCGTCACTGAACTGAAACTGACCGAAATTCCGTGGAGTTTTGCGGACGCTCCGTGGCTCCATTCAGGCCCCTGTAAGAATGTGTAGCGCCGATGTTAGTCTCGGACTTGCTGACGGTTCAGTCTCTAACAGTCTAAGAAGGGTTAATTCTGTACTACTCTGTACTTAGTGGCTTTTCTTCTGTTGGACAGTTGGCTGTACCCCTCCGCGCTTAAGTAGCCCGCACTGGGAAGGTCTTTCCCTGATCCTTGAGGGATAATGATGCTAATAAAGTATGTATCATTCTTGAAGTCTAACTATAAGCAAAAGGCAGTACGGCCTCGTATTCTCTAATGAAACACAGGTATCTACACAGCTGAACTACTGCATAGGAGGCACAGCCTTCTTGTAAGCAGCCTGCACCTCAGGCAGTGCGTCCAGCTTCTTGATATAAGCCTCAATCGCCGGGTACTCCGCAAAGGGCTTGAGTGCAGACCCAGTCAGCACCGAGCCTTTCAACCAGGGCAAGATGGCAAAGTCCGCGATGGTCAGCCGGCCCAGCGCCACGAACCCGTTCTCCGCGGAGACCAGATGCTTGTCCAGCACGGCCCGCAGACGCTCCACTTCGGCCTGGTAGCGCGCGATCACGGAACTGTTGGGCTTCTCGCCGTGGGCGCCCTCGTGGAAGACGACGAACCAGACCAGTTGGCCTTGGTAGGGGCCCAGACCGGATACCTGCCAGGCGAGCCACTGGTTAACGATTGCACGTTCTTCGACGGTGTTGCCGGCGAGTCTGCCGCTGGGGTCGTACTGGGGTTGTTGTTAGCTGGCTGTTTAGTGTAATTTGGGATACTGAGGGCAGGTACCTTCTCAGCCAGGTATGTGAGGATAGCGCCACTTTCAAAGACGGTGAAGTTGTTGTTTTCGTGGTCGATCAGGGCGGGGACCCGGCCGTTGGGGTTGACCTTGGAGGTATACTCGGGATCCTTGACGGTGCCTTTGCCCTCGCCGAATCCGAGAGGAACACAGTCGTAGTCCAGTCCGAGGTGCTCGAGGGCCATGGCCACCTTGACAGGATTGGGGCCGGGGCCTATAGGCATTCATTAGCGAGCTCCAGGTCAATCGGGAAGAAAACTTACCGGCGTGAGTGTAGAGGGTGAATGGAGCCATTGCAAAGTTAGACGAGCAGAAAAATGGCTGTGGGATCCGGTTGAAAGTGAATCGAGATCGTGATCGAAGTCCGTGTCTTAGAGAGGATAGAAGCCCTTTATGTAGATGATTGCTCTTGTGGATGATGCTGTTGCAGTGGTCAAGATACACTTCCAGCGCTGTCTTTATACGTCTGAGGCCATACTTGCGACAGTAGAAGCTATATCCTGAACTCCATATTGATAAGCAACATTCGTCCGCGGAGCAAGAGAGCCTTCACTCCATGGAAACCGAAGATGGAGCTATGTGGAGTGACAGCTATGGCCTCGGCCAATGATAGCAGGACCTCACAATCAATACGAGCCCCAAACAAGCCAAGCAGTCTTAGCTCTCGAGATCGACGGAAAGTGTGTCCTCTGTGGAGATCATCGAGACTCCGTGGGCGATCCCACGATAATCCGACATGGCACTTTCGCCCCGAAACTCCGAAACTCCGAAACTCCATGGACATACGACTAAAAATCATCTTTGTGGAGTTGATTCATCTGAGCCTTATTACGAAAATTGGTGAGTTAATCATTCTTCCATTGGAGCAGCCGCATACTTCCCATACATGATACAGCCACTGTTGTAACTATATCTCTTGATAAAGCAACAGGCGGACAAGCCAACATGACAGATTATGACAGGGAACATGACGTCTCCTGCTCAAAGCATTGCTATATCAAAGTCAAGATGCAGCATGACGGCTCGGTGGACACGCCCTGCATCTCAGCCTATGCCTTTTTACTTTCCCCAAACCCGGCAATGCTTCTAAGCATTGTGGACAGACCATCACTCTTTCTAAGATCTCATCCTGGCGAGAGAAGATGTCTGCCTCTTCACTGCATCTCGTCGCAATTTCCATCATTTTCTGACATGTCGGGTCTTCACTAAATCCAGATGGCTCCATCACATTAGGCTTTCGGGAATGAGAGTCCCAGGGCGTTGTCTTCAACAGCACATATTTCCAATTCTCGAAAAACAGCACGCGGTGTTCATTAAAGGCCGCCAACGCCGTAGATTCACAGCAGTTTTTGGAAAGTTTATCAGACAGTTCTGCGAGTGCACCCAGGACGTTGTCAAGAAGCTCGCTGAAATTTCCAGAAAAGTTAATCATGGTTGCTATTTCGAACCAACGCAGGCATTTTCCGGACGCCAGGAATTCGGTGAGCTGCTGAACCATCACATCTTCTTCTGAGGACTCAGTGTCGTATGCATTTTCATCAGAACAGACTTCTGTGCATGTCAATGCTTGCACTAGAGCGTAATGGAAGGGGAAGTGGGATTCAAATTTGTAGAAGCTGATCGGAGCTGAAGAATCACTTCTTAACTCGTCAAGGTGCTGCTGCGACTCTGAGCACTCGGTGAAATACCACACGGCCGCAATTCCTCGAGACAACTTCCTTGTCCGTGGTGGCTGCAGTAATATGTCCGAATCCGTCCAAATGCTCCCCCGCGAAAGATATTGATAGAAGGACTGGTGGACAGCTGCTACTTCGTAACCTGTATTCGTCTGACGAACATCCACCAAAGGGCCGGCCAGTCTTCTTGCTAATCCAGGAGTGTCAAACACAGGCTCCCCATCATTAGCGTACTGGAACACAGTGTCCATGATCTGAAGGGGTAGACGGTCTTCCTCCTGAAGTAGAAAATCAGGCAAAATGTCGCTGATATCTAACCAGACATAGAACCAACGGGCGAATCTCCGTTCGTAATCAGAAAGTCGGTTATTATTCTCTTGTATTATGCGGTCATAAAGCTCAGAGAGACCCAGGGGTAGAGATGAGAGACACGCTGTGACGGCTTTGCGGCTGGGCGCCCGCGCAATATCATCCATCAGTAGCCGTGCATACAACCACAGACCGTCGGCCTGCTTTGAAATTCTGTTCGCAACCTGTTCTGCCAGTCCGGTGTTCGCAATGGACGGGATCCCCTTAATCCGTCTTTGTACGTAAGAGAGAATTTGGTTCAGTATGTTTCTTGAGTCTAGACGCAGCAGATGAGAGGACGCGGTGCTGTCTTCCCTGTTTCGAGTAAACAAGAATTTATACTGAGCGCGCTTGTTCGGGCCCTCTCTGCGACTGACTCCTCCTTGAGCTCTGCTCGCGGAGTCATCCTTTGGGAAAAGGGACTGTCGCCAATAATCTATATCATTTTCATCATCATCGATTATAATGAAGTAACACTTCGGACCTTCGAGATGGGTAATCGTCTGTTGGTACAAATCAGAAGCCATGCTCACCGAGTCCAAGACAGCTCGTCCACTGTGCTGGTAAGTACTCAGCATCTGGTCAGCCATACTTGGTTCGTATTGCAAGACCTGGGCCAAAAGCGTTCTCATTATGCAGACCGTGTCTCTTTTCTCGGGATTCTTTCTATCACAGAAGAAGTAGATAACCCGTCCATACTGCGACAAGGTTCTGACGAGGAACGCAGCAAGAGTACTTTTCCCACTCCCAGGGCGACCGACAATCCGCAGCCTCTCGTTTCTGGGCGACGAGAACCATTTCTGGAATTGATCAGACTGCAGCACCCAGTCACAGGATCCGTCTGAATACTGGGAAAGATGTCGCTGCAAGTCATCCTCGACTGTGGAAGGACATAACCAACATCGGATTCGATGGAGATTTTGTTCTGAACACGTTCAAAAATCAGTAAATGTGCAATTGAAATGATAATATGTATATAGACATGACAAACCTCGCGTCTCTTGGGCCAATTTTTCCCTCACTTCCTTGGCCTCTAGGAAATGAGCTGCTTGAGCTGACGGTCTATCTCCGCTGCCCGATAGTCCACCGACTCCGAGATGGACGCGAATTCTTTTCCAAACGGATTAAAGATGTATCGAAGTCGACGTGTCTGGTACTTAACCATACAGGTGCATAGCCGCAGAAGCTCACAATATAGTCGCCCGACTGCCTCCCGGACTCCGGCGTGGGAAGCAAACAGTGCTGCTAGATCCTGATATCGCTGAACCGATTGTGCAATCTTGTCGACAATAAACGCAAGTCGCTCCAATGCTGAGAGGTGTTGACAGGCAATCTAAAGAGGTTTAGCGATTTGTTTCAAGCATTACAGACGCATCATCCAGGTGAGTTAGATTACCGTGATTGCCATGCGGAGCGGACCCCATATCGGCGACGCAATCCCAGCGTTGACTTGTACAATCACATCGAGAGTCCCCTCTAGCCGCTTCAGGGGATCAATGACCGGGCCTAGAAACTCGGCTATGCGGGTGAAGCCTCTTTTCCTCGCGCCGTTTGTGGATAAATCCCGTAAGCATGCCTCGACGGTGGCCGGCGCTTGGAACTCGCGCTGTTTGTCAGGATGCAGGCTTTTCACATATTTTGCCACGGCCACTTCCCATGTGTCTGAAGTCTGAGAAGGGATTGGGTTTGGGTTCATCTTTGTTCGAAAGCTTGTGATTCGATCAGTTGTGAACAGTGGATGACAGCGGCGCAACGAGGCTTGAAGGATGTCCCTGCCCCTCCATCGTATTGAGGCACGAGGCTTAGCGTCACGGGATTATAACACAGAGTAAGCAAACACTCTTCGCTACTTTCCTGTCTCCTCTTTATATCATTCATCCCCTGTCGATGGCGTTGGCCACATATAAATAATACAGTGTCTAGCACTTTGCTCTGCATTTGAAGGAACAATAGTTCCGTTGTTGTTTCAAGTCAGCCAAAGCTCCAGTGTTAAAAGAAATTGAATGAGGGATAGTAATACATCACAGTATGCAAAACGAAGGTATACCTTGGATCATCATCATTCGACTGCGAAGGACTCACATTACCGTCGTGAGATGTTGCGGAAATAAAAATCCTGGAAGCCTTAGGCAGAAATCAAAGCACAGCAATGGTAATCTGTTTTAAGTCAAGTGGATCTTTCTCACCCTCAATGCTTTCAGTCTTCAGATCCTCCAGTAGGTGTTTCGTCGCCTATGGATTGACGAACTGTCGATCTCCGCTGTTTGGAAGCATTCTCTACCTCAGTTCTATATATCTTGCCGCTACCCCCAAGAGTCTGTGGCTGACTGAGGCCCAAGTGTCGGTCATTCTAAGGAGATGAGACAGAGGATACTGTAACAGGGAGCTTTACATAGTCATGTTCTCGGATGAAAGACTCGACTTACAGTCGAAGCGAGGCATGGATTGCAGACGGCTCTGCTCGGCAAAGCGATGTAAGCGTTCCTGCTATGTCATTCTGTGGGGACACTTCCAGTACCTCCGGAGAGTATTTCCTAGTTGTAAAAGGAGCTTCAAGATGCAATGATGCGGAAGACAACCTGCAGCTTTAGTTTTCAGTGACATTGGCATGGATTTCATTTTAAGGTGGGCTCTTTCAGTGCCGGTTACCGTGCTGACAATTTCGGCCACCGAAACTGTTTCAGTAGTTATAACCCATGACTCTCAACCAATTTTCAATTTTGATAGCAGCGTAATTCAATATGAGTGAGTGCAAGACTGAGCCATTGCTTTCATAGAGTAAAGCAACTCATGACACCATTCAGGATACTCAGAATACTGCTTATCGAATACTTCCACTTGCGTTACTCACCTCTCTTAGTATAGCAGCCACCACTGCCACTGCTATTTACACCTATGCTATTTACACCTATGCTGATCTGCTTTGTAAGGACCCAGCCACCTATAAAGATAGTAAATAAAGCGCCTATGCAGCCATAGTCACTATCACCAGTAGGCAGTAGAATCACCCATGGAATAGCAGGGAATCCTTGGTCTTCGACATGTCAATCTCGAAGAGGAACTCCGATTTTCCTCCCGAGCAGCTATCAGCCAAAAAAATGCACATGGTCGGACTGCGGTATCTTAAGCTGCTTGGAGAGGAGACATCGATGCAGTCGAGCTGTTTACCAAGTACGAATCCGATGTCGCAATACCCTCTAAACGGCAAATAGCCCCGATTCACTACGCCCTGGCAAGCGGAAGTACCTCTGTCGTGCAATTCCTACTCAACGCAGGCGCAGACCCGAACCATCCTAGCGATGAGGGCTGACGCCTTTACATTGGCTAATTGCAACCCATGGCCGCCCTGACCTTGTTCAATTGTTGGTTGGATTTGGTAGTGCTCTGAACTGTCGCGACTTTACCAGGAATGCGCCGCTCATGACTGCCGTGCAGCATAATCGTCCTCGAAGCGTAAGAAACTTAATCGAACACGGTGCCAATATTGAGGAAGAGAGGAAGAAGGGTGGACGGCCCTCAACTTGGCTATCTTCATGAATCGACACGAATGCCTCAAGATTCTTCTCGATGCCCAGGCCAACTGCGAACATATCACTAGTGACAGCAGCTCAATACTACATTTTGCGGCAGAGAATGCAGATCTCAAGACAATGCAGTCGTTAGTTCGACATTCCTCGCACCTTCATTTCCGGATTGATAGCAAACGGCAGGAGGATGGCCTTACAGCTTACGAACTTGTGGAGGAGAGGACCGGCAATTGATGTCTCTAAAAGTTATTTCAGCGTACATGATGTGTTGTTCCCGAGCTTGCACTTCGGCGTGTTCCATTATTGGCACTAAATCAGGGCCGTACTGCACCTCAAGTTGCGGGTGTTGTTGAGTTGAATGTGCAAGCAAACCGGAAGTTAGGGTTATACGCGCCCTAAAAGATTATATTAGAACCGGTATCTGGTCTTCGATTCTCAATACATTTTACAATTAACTTTTGTGCGCTGCAATGGGAGATAGTGGCCTTAGGCTTGAGCTTTGTAGAATATTGTACTTTTAAAGTGTATCAAAAAATCTATACAAATCAGGTTCTATGAGGTGCAGGTTGGAGGGTCCGACCTTTGGAACTTGGGTCGGACCATTTCGGGTAATCACGACCTTCAACCACAGCTACAGCACGTCCACTAAAAGAGCGTTACTGCTTCTCCTGTACCTCCTCGGTTTCCTGGCCACTGTCACTGCTGAGGCCAAGCTCCTTCCTCTCAGGCATGCCATGGTCGTTGGTATCCAAGCCCAGCTCGCGAGACTGTTGGATGATCTGATCGAAGCTGAGCTTGGGCATGTCGTGGGCGACCCTGAACGGCATCTTCCCTTCGATATGGGCTTTGGCGTAGATGATGTCGACCTCCTCAATCTCACGGCCGGCGGTCTCCACATAGAAGAAGTAGCCGAATATCAAACCGACAAAGTTAAATAGTGCGAAGAAGAGATAAACACCCCATGGGCTCTGGCCAGCGAAAAGCGGTGTGAACATGACCACGGCAAAGTTACAAATCCAGTTGGTACAGGTTGATGCCGCCGCGCCCACGGTGCGGGTACGGAGGGGGTTGATCTCTGGTGGGTAGATCCAGGGCAGTGGCAAGAGAGTGAATGCAAAGAAAGTGATGAAGAGAAAGATGCCAACAGCAGCACCCTTAGAATTCTCCTCGTTTTCCTTGATTAGGCAAGCGAACGTAATAACGAAGCTAAGCCCCTGGCCTAGGAAACCAATTAAGTATAGTTTTCGACGGCCGACTTTTTCAATCATGAAAAAGGACGGGATAGTGGCAAGGGCGTAAACAGTCGCGAATACTCCGCCCATGATTAGCGACAGATATTTCTCCATATGCAGGTTCTCTTGGAAAAGCAATGTCGAGTAGTAGATAGCAGCGTTACAGCCAGTAAACTGCTGGAAGAACTGACCAGAGCACCCGATAAGGAGGCGCTGGAATTCCTGGGTTTTGCCAAATGTGAATACTAACTTCCAGTTTGACTGCACGCTCTTTGAGGATTCCATGTCCGTTTTCAAGAGGTTGTAGTCGTGAAGTACTTCATCGGAATCAGGGGAAGCGCCCTTGAGCTTACCGAGAACTTCACAAGCCTCCTTGTCAAGTCCTCTCATTACAAACCACGATGGGGAATCCGGGAGCATCAAGGCACCGGTGGCCACAACCAGAGCGAAAAGGATTTGGAGCGCCACAGGGAATCGCCACTGGACAGAATCCGCGGCGTGCGAGATGCCGAAGACAACCCAGTAGGCAATAAACGTGCCACCGGCGATCATCGCGCCCTCAAAACAGACCAAGAAGCCACGATTGTGAGCGCCGGAGCATTCCGATTGCCAGACCGGGATCGTGGCCGTGTTCATGCCATTTCCAATGCCCGATACAACACGGCCAATGACGAACTGGCCAACTTCCCATTTACCAGTGAAGCAGACCGTTGTAAGCAGGGCGCCAACGATCAGGACACTGGCTCCCATGAAGATCAGACGAGTGCGGCCTAGTCCGTTGCCAAAGAACATGGAGAATAACGCGCCGAAGAAACAGCCAAGCTCATAGCAGGATGTGACAGCACCGCGGATGACATCGATGTAGTGTTTCTGCGCCCCAGTCGGATTGTCGGGCATTTTGAGGATTGGAAAGGAGTTAACAAACTCGTCGCCGTTGAGAAGGCCGGCCATCATGCCCTGATTGTAGCCAAAGAGCGAGAAACCCATGACAGCGGCAAAGGTGACGCTCAACCGGAGCGACCGACCACTCAAGCCGCTGGTAGTCGTCCACATGTTGATGGCAGGAACAAAGAGCCGTCAGTTTGTGGGGTGGAGTTGGGGTAAAAGAAAGCTGGGGAAAAAGTAGTAAGGAAGGAAGGAGTACGTGGAAGCAGAAATATTCGCGGTCTTATAGCAATACTGACTTCTACTGCAACCTTGGTCGGACCCCAAACAGCAAGTCCAGCGACCCTTCCCGAGGGGAGGGGGAGACGCACCAAGGGATCCCGTTCCCCTTGGCACTTGGCGGAACCAATTAGCACTTTGGTACTGTGCAGATCGCCTGGTCAGTGTGTGTGGATGCTTGATTTCCAGTATCCAATGTAGGTTTAGCATATGGCTAAATTTCTACTTCACATTCTACCGTTATTTCACTCTCCGTAATGATGGATTCGTGGGAGTCTKCCCCCCTTTGGACTTAGGCCCCCCCATGGTTTTGCTCTCTGGCGCGCATGCTTGTTGTCCTAGGACCTTCATATGCCTACAGATCCATTCAGATCTTTCATCCATCTTTCTTTCTCGTTTTCCTTGTTCCCTCTGCTAGCTCCCTGGAGTCATTGCAATCGTCGCATACTCTCCTCCCCTTTGCGACATGATGTCATATTATGCATACTTGCATTCTACTGTTACAGTTTGCATCTGGAGCTGCCACGGCCTTAGTCGCCCCAGTATGACGTCGCAAACTTTTTTCTTAGTTCCCAATTCAACGCTGGTTCGAATGTGCCCGGCTACTTACGAACCTTCGGGCCAATGACATGAAAATCCCATGTGGCGAAACACAAGACGCGAATTGGGGAAATTTCGCTTAAGTGTCTCTTTGTGTCAAGCCACCCGCCACGCGGTCAGGTCGGCTCGCGCCCCAGGGCTCACAGCGGGACTCTCCATATCCCGGGCTGACCAATCTGCACGTGGTATACCGTCGTTTCAGGGGATCACCGGCCCGGGTCATCTCGGCTTACCTTCCAAACGGCCCCCATCCCCTCGGCGGGGGTTAGGTGGGGTACTCTGTATGGCCCACATCCTTCCTTAACTATATCTGTCGAGGCGTAATGGGTTTCCTTTTCCAGGTGAGAGAGGCAGAAGTGACGTCACTGCCTTTCCCTGACCATTTTTGATGTGCGCCGATGTGCTCGCAGGCTCGTGGAACGGTCCATTGGAATGAAGACTAGGGGCTTTGACATAATATCTTCCGAGTCCAAGAGGCGGCCGTGCTTGGTACTCTGCAATCTTTTAGTTGTTTGCTGTATCGGCTTCTGTGATGTCTAGAGAACTTCTCCCAGCTTGAAGAACGAAGTGGAGGTTCGGGCAAATTCCGTGATTTCTTTTTTGGGGACAGTGAGTACACGGAGAATATGGAGATGTATTGCGAAAGGCCAAATTCCAAAGGCTACTGGAGAGAATCCCCTGTTTAAACATGAATACCAGGAGCGAAGAGATAAGGCGCACGAAGCGGTGGATGACCTACTGGTGATTTGACGATGAGAGCAGAATTTGAATGTGGGGATGGTGCGGTACCTCAGAAGAGGAAACGGGATACGTAAGTGGCTCCATATCGGTGCCTTAGGCACACCAACTCCGGCCGCGCCGAAGTCAGTCCAGGGCAGTTTTGTCGCCTCGTGTTAGAACCATGGCCCGGCGGAGTGAAGATCGGCCAGCAGCCAATCTACCCAGTACATTCAACGGATTAATACTTTCACCGAGACACTTTCGGGTTGCCAACTGAGAGAAAGCGATCATCACTTATTATTGAGTTGCCAGCACTACCGCCTATTCAATGATCTCTAGCTTACTAAATAATGACTAAGTGAAGTCGAAACTCACCACTGGCTAATGTATCCAGCAATTCCGCCATTGGGTCCCCGTCTCCCCCTCCCCCCACTTCCCACCAAAACAATGAGTGCAAGAGCTCTCCGGACTGCAATCGCTTTCCTGAAGGCAGAGGAACGCCAGAGGTAGGCAGAAGAGAGAGAAAGGCAGGCAGAAGTATGCTAAAGGCAGGAAGCCGAGCTGAGAAGATAGACAGAGGAGACCGAGAGGCAGGAGAGAGAACGCCACCATCCGATGAGTTTCGGAGAGTTCATCTGATTTTGCCATGATCGTCTTTGGCGGCGGCTGAGAGCCGCCCCATGAATATCCCACGACTTAGAATTTGAAATGATAAAGGCGATTTTGAAGAGTACCATCAATTGGAGGTCTTTATAAACCCATTCTTAAGGCTTCTCCATCGATAATATATCATTTTAATATAAGTTGATGATGTCCTTTGCTGTCGAACTCGTCGTGATTTATGATATTTGCTAAGAGTGTGACGATTTCCTGTTCAGGATTAGTGTGAGGATAGAATCAGCACTTTCAGGGGCAATACTGTACTAAATTCCCCCACAGACAACAGACGACAACGCAAACATGGACCCTTTACCACAATTCCAATTTGCCAATAATAAGCAGGATAATGCTAGTATCCTTCACCGCCGTGCACTTAATGCTCATCAAGCCAAACAATATCGAGCTCGCTGTAAGGAACAGCTAGGGCACTCAGAGATACCAAATATAGGCACTAATACTGTAGGGCCTACCAATCTCAAACTCTCTACTGAAGTGGCCCTATCTAGATGTTCAGATATGTCACTTGATTCATGTTCATCTAGTGGTTCCATAGCAGGGGATATTTATCTCAACTATGATGACCCTGGATCACCTAATGATACAGGGTCTACCTATTAGTAACAAGCTTTAGATGAGCTGGATCCTCTGGATAGCAAAGAACAAGGGACAGTGTCTCAAATACCAGAGACTTCCCGCAGTTGATATGATGCAGGAAATTTGCATCCTAATGGACTTGGTCGTCGATGCTGAGGTCGTCCTGTGAGATGGAAGCCTGTCTGCCAAGTTCTGAGGGCTTCATGGAGACATGAGCATCATCGGAGATAACATTTTTGAAAGCGTCAAGGATGGGGCTGGTTGTTAATATCACTGTGAGCAGGGCGTACGGCTGCAAAACGAAGCAGAAAGGATGTACAACAACAGGAAAGTGTATATATTGTAATATGCGCTTACCCAAGTGACCAACCTGCTCGTTTGAAACAGGAGTGATTGGACTAGACACGAGACTCTTGGGCTCCGTAGAGAGTTCAATGCTTGGCCGTATCACTGTACCTTCGAAGGGGCTTGCTAGATCGGTTTCCTCGCCCGAGGTGAAGGGAGTCATAACTGAGCATTAATAAAAGCATCTACCAACGCAACACTGGAAGGATGCAACATACAGGGAGTGACAGTATCAGGAATTAAACAGCTACCACCGGTTCCCTCCTGTGCAAAGGCGCTGTGCGTCTGAGAGCTCATCTCTGGCGACGTCGGCTTCGCGAACTTGGCTATCTTGATATTGAACACAATCGGCCGCGCAGGAGCAGTTTCAGAATTTTGTTCGTGTGGAGTGGTAGGAGATGGTGCTCTATTGCTTCCAAGTGTGATTTCTCGCAAAGTCGGAGCGGATAAGGTTACAGGAAGCGGTAGAACTGGCCTGAAGTAGGGGCCAGTTGCTGTTGCAGAAGACGGTTCCGACCGCAATGATTTTGAGAGCTGGGGCCGGTAGAACTCGATATTGTCAAGATTAACCAAAACTCTTCGCGGTGGTGGCAGGGTCACCATGGAGGGATGGATAGTGGGATAGTGGGATAGTGGTACAGTCAACCATAATAAATGAAATATGTCTTGAAAGTTCCTTCCCTAAGGATGGGAACCAAGGACCAGCTCTATAGGAGGACTTGTAGGAGATTCATCCAACCTTTAGTCTTGAGGCGCCGGGGCTGCAAGAGGAGTGTCTTGTTCTAGGGGCTGCAGTCGGTAATCTCCTTAATTAGCTATTCTAAAGGCAAATCAGGGCACTAGTGACCACTCATACCGGAACGCCGGACAGCTGCTTGCCAATGACCCCTTCCAGCATGTAAGAAAGAAGCCTCGATATAGTGCTTTGTGGGTTATCTACCCCGCTAATAGCGCCTATCTCGGTATCTCGGGCACCAACCCCTCTCCAGTGTGTATATAGCACACAGTTCTGTACCTAGTTTCCTAGTTCTACTTACTAGCGAAGTCAATTCCCTTGGAGTCAACTGTCACTTCGTTCATTTACTCATTATGGAATCTTAATACTCCATAAGTCCCTATGAAGGGAGGAGGCAGAGCAATCTGCCCTCGACCACCAAAGGTTCTCAGCCACGTGTCAAATATAAGTCTTAGGGCTTATCAAACAATTATTCTACATTGAACACACTATGAATAGGACAACATGTTAACAGCATCAATAATCAAACTCACAGAACTACAGAGAGGATGAAGTATTCCCACTCAAGACGTCTGCAGATTAGGCACTATTACTTCTATAGAATCCCCCCGAGATTGTTTCTCATGATAATAGATCGAGCTTTTAGCACATCTCTGCAGGGAATACGCCAGCTGGCTTTCAGTTATTTGTCTTTTCAGGTGCACAGTCCTTCTTAGGCATCCAAATAGCAATGGGTCCAATAGAGAACGCGCATTCTCGTCCGCTCAGATGTCAACAGAATGCAAGCTCCTGTCTTTTGGTTGCTAGCACCTCAGAATAACTTTGCCTTTTTCAAATGTGGCCCTGGGTGTTGCGACTTATGAGGATGTCCCATAATCCTTGTTGAGGTTGACAGGTGCCAAAGGTGGGGCCATAAGGAATAGTATCACGGCGGGACGTGCCTGCGATCTAGCCGTAGCGTATGCCAAGGGTCCATGAGAGCCCCCTGTACCTGTAAGACACGCCATTAGAACCATTCGAAAAGGCAGACGTAGCTCATTGTCGTCAACCTCTTTATCTGTCGACTTTCTCTCCACAACCTCCAGGAGCTGGCATCCACAGCCCAGTACTGGGGTTACTATTCTCGAAAAGTCCGATGGATGGGCGTTGTAATTTGGTGAAACCCTAGGTGGATGTGGTCGCGGGAAATACTGAATAGGCCGTTAGGGCTATCTAAGGCGTGGAAGAACCAAAACTTTCCGACTTTCCAGCCTTTCTCCTTCACACCTCCTGGCGTTTCGGAAACTCCGAATTTAGGCCTACAGATTCCCGCTTCTCTCATCTATCTGCGTAGACTGTCAGACCTATTATATTTTATAATACGTCCTGTTCGGATAGAAGTAGACCCGGCCTGAATTCTCTCTTATTTCACGCTGAGCATCTCTACACTAAGAGGTATATTCCATACGCCGGCGAAGGAGAACAATTTCTCTAACCTGATATCAGGCCAGTAGACCATTATAGGCTTGATAACTGTCAGATTCACATTTGATTGCCTAATAGTCCCTTACTCGCTTCTGAAAGATCACCTTAGCATCGAGGTGAGCTTGGGCAAGCGGTCAAGCAGCCTATGTTGATTTGATATCAGTTAGTCTTGTAAGAAGTGTGACAACGGATGACTTCCCAGTCACAGCTACTGAGTTCACTCACCAAGAGCACAGGCCGCCCCTGCCGGGTTTGATAGTCCACAATAGTTCACGTAGCATTCGTCTCTGCTTTCGCAGCAAGTATCTAGGTTGCAACACGGGCTCATCCAGTCACAGCAGCGCGCAGACAATTTCCCATGATGCCCCTCGGTATTGGCGATGCGGGAGACGACGTCTTGGTATACAGCGATTTCTTCGGGAGTTTCCAGAAGGTCTACAATGTGGTGAGTGGCAATCAAGATCAACTGGTGGACTTGTGCGGGCGGAATTGAAGCTCACCATGGATGTCAAAAGTCTGTGCAGCGGTGATAGCCGCCAGAATAGTCACTGGAACAATGAAACGCATTGTGAAGGATGAGAGAGGATGTTGCAGTAGCTAGGTAGTTCTATGGGTCTTTTTAGGGGGGAGGACATGTCTTCTTATACTTTCCATTCAACTCAACTCCCCTTCGGAAGCCTCCCGTGTTGTCGTTTCCCCGTGCATCCTGCTTACGGCGGGTCAGAGAGCAAAATCGAGGCACGGCAGCAACGCCGGAACGACTAGTTTCATGTATACGGGACCGCTTGGATTGGATGTTATTCTAGCAGGGATTCGTCTGATGTGTACAGACCAGGAGTCAAAGATCCTTTTTGCAAGTCCGGTCTGCCACCAACATTGAACCATAAACCCTCATTGGTAGCTGTTAGACCGCTGCATTCCGATCCAAATGGCATCTGACATACTTTTCCTGAATAGAAACGGAAATCAGAATGTACTGGATTCAGAAGATGTTCAAGGATGGTAGGTAGAAGCTACTGAATCCGGACATTGGCTGGGGGCGGAGCATCACCTATGTCGGACAGACAAAGCAGTAATGTCATATATATTGGCTCCTCTAGCCGCGGAACGCTGGATACGCAGAATTTAAACGATAATGGGCACGAAGTCCCTAGAGACGACTCTACCCCCGCAGGTCCTGGTCAATACATCGAGGCGGCGGATAATAAAAGCAAAGACTGAGAAAGCTTTGTCAAGATTTGCCAGGTTCCCAGGGCAAGACATGGTTCTCATCAGCTAGGACGCAGTACAATTGGTCGCCATTTACCAGAGTTAAGGCTAAATACAGGCTCGAAGGATGAAAGATGTAAGACTAGGCAAGGCTATATCCGGGACTTAAGACGGTCAGCAGCCGGACCCTAGGGGATGGAACCATTACCCCCAGGTTTTTGTTTCCCCTAGCCTAAAGATGCATGCGTAGTCACAGGCGGTTAGTCCAATAATGAAGGTGGGGCCAATTCCTCGCTGATTCTGGCCTATGGTCACACCAACTTGATTCCAGGCCTTGAGGGTATCCGCGCCTTGGACCACCAAACACTTAGCCAGTGAGCTAGCTTGGCCGAGGGATAGTAATTCGGGAGACACAGCCCCTCTCTACCTGTCAGCAAAGGAAGATGTCAGCGTCCGCGACAGTCATTGGGACTGCACAGAAGACTGTAGAGAATCACAAGTATTTCTCCTGTTGTGTCATCGTCTATAACAGGGGTCTAGCTGAGGATGGGTTAGATATATGAGTTGGAGAGCCATGGTTTTCGGATTATACCATCAACACCATCAACTATTTGAGGACCTCAGACTTTGCCCATCTCTTGTCGAGTTGACCGTTCACCCCCACGTTGACCAGCAATTAGGTGATGGGGTTTGCCTGGGCAACTCGCAAAGAGATGCCCGGTGATCAACAGCTCCCGCCATGGAGTCTGTGGCGCTAAGCTTCTAGTCGCGATTGGGGAAGATCGAACAACTCCTTGGGCGCAGGTTGAACCGCTGCCCACCCAGCTTTTTAACCGACACGTTTTCGTACCTTCTTGCTCTTTCACTCCCTTTACTCCACATCTGTCATATTCTCTGCTCCTTGTGTGATTCTTTTGATGGTATGATTGCGCACACAAGAAACAATTGAGAACTCTAGAATGATAACTTGAAGTTAACTGGCCTCTTCAGCACATGTTTACTTACGTAGATTATCACCTCAGGCGCTAAGCCGGGCACCTTAATTGGAGGAAAGACTAGATCATGACTCTTAAGTGTTTCACTATGAGTGCATAGCCACAGTCTTTCGTTCTGTTGGAAAATGGGCTAAGAAGTAAGTTGGGCTGCAGCACCCTATTGAGGGAGCCTGGTTACTTTACTTTTGTGCTGTAAGTGTACATCATATAGTTTGAATACGTATTTTTAGATGATTGATGTACTAAGTTCTCAAAGACTGTCATCTGTTACTTCAATAGTAGGATTACATCGTATGGCTCAGATGAATTCTCTTGAAGTCTCATAAAGCCTCATTCCAGGTACTTCCTCAGATGCTCTACACTGCCTACTTCCTATCAAGCAAAAAGGCTACGGCCGCCAAAGTTACAAAATTTGATTTGATTTGATTTGATTTTATTTAACGTCACTCGGCGGCACACGTGACCTGCAGCCTCCCAAGGGGCATCCGGATGTGCTACCTAAGCAAAGACTTACTAAAATAAATACATTCTTGAAGCAACAAAGCTGGACACTATGTGTTGGAAAAGAGTGGAAGAAGCACCAGGTGCTACCCTGGGACTTCTAAAGGTGAGGAACCTGCTTTGGCTACCTTCAGTCGAGCGGGGGTGCCTTCCCCGTTCGTCTAGGTAGAGGCGTAGACTGTTGCACTATTCAGTGCTTGAGCAGGCCCAGTTTGGGCATATATCCTTGAAGAAGGATGAATCTTGCACGATGCGGCTGAACTCTTCAGCTCCAGCAGCTGTACCTAGTAGCCAGTTAATTGTACTTGACAGGCTGCTTCTCTTGCATTTCCATCTATCCTTCCAGCGCTTCCTGGTGTGTGGGCAGAAGAAGAAATGGACAGGGGATTTCTGTCTTTTGCAGGAGCAGGTTGCCAGGTAGTCTGCATGTTGAAATCTTTCATGATATGCTGCAAAATCTCCGTGACCTGTACGGGCAGTGGGGGAGCTTATGTTCTTGGTCACGACTGGCCCTTTGTATGAGGTCTGATGTCCAGGTCACGGTAGGCCTGAGGTGCGCCTCTAAGATATGCCGCTCGTGTAGCTGCGCGGATCTGTTGTTTAACCTCCCGTCTGAGGAATAAAGGAGAAGGGGGATATCAGGGCTGGCTATTGAAGCACCTTTCTTTGCCAGCTTATCTGCGAGCTCATTCCCCGCGAGGGGGGGTGCGCGCGTCTTGGATAGAAATATCCGATTTGCGCGCCGCAGCTAGCAAGGTGTCACGTGACCCAGAGCTGTACGGCTTCGCGAGTGCCTGCTAGGCGGCACGAGCATATCGCGGGCCTTGCTCGCAACAACTACCACTGCTGTGATAGAGTCGTCCCCTAGGGGATGGGCTGAGAATTTGGTCCTAAGTGGCTTCATCCTTGATACTCTTTCAGCTTTAATGCTGATGTTATCTAGGGACAGCTGTCAGCCCTATTACAGTAAGTGTCTTTCAGAGCTATACAGTAAGCTTTACCATAGCCTTAGCCATCTTCAGCGTAGCCCTGGTATACCTGGTTATTTTTATCTGTGTACTAGTTAGGCAAGCTATGCCTAAGATGTAAATATAGGTTCTTAATATCCTACTCTCTCCACTCCAACCATTCCTCAACCATCCCCACGCCATCCCCTATAGACTGTCCCTACTACTCTACACCACTGTCCAGGCCTATGTATCCCCCACAATTATGGTCTTTGCATCAATCCAGCTGCATTTTTAGTGCTTTTCAAAATAGCCTGATTATATCCACTGCTGCCGCATGCACTGCTATACACCTTTACTCAAAGTATTCATCCCCCCCAGCCTGTAATAGCTAAGGTCTATCTCAGACAGATTCACCAACCACACTGCAGTTCTCAGAGCACTAGCCATACAGATGCTTACTCTAGCAGCCATCACACAGGTACAGAGCACTGGCTAACTATACCTGGCTGTATCAGTTGCAGCAGCTAGGTTATCCCTGCCAGCTTTCTTCAAGAGTTATTTTATTTCATTCATACCAGATGCATCACGCGTAATTACAGCACTAACCTTTATAGAGAATTTTGGAGGTTTGGTGTCACCATTCATGCTTAGGAGCTGGCAGTCTGTTGCTCCAGGACCTTCTGTATTTGGTTTTGCAGTTGCTGGGTGTGAGTCTAGGGTTATTTCTTTGGGGAGAAGTATTGTGCTTAAATACCAACTTCACAGTAGGGTGAGTAAAGTGGAAAATGGTATAAAGTTGATGAAAATAACACCAAAGACACATTGCTTCTTCATCAGTTTAAGAAGAGTTTATTACATTCCCACCCAAGGTTTACGCGAAGGGTCTGATGGCGTTGTATGTTTAAGGTGATCCTCACCAACAACTGCATACAAGGAACCCATTTCCGGTGATAGTTATGTTGTCTCTGAACGGTCGAATATGTGATATAAACCTAAAACGGCAAGGGCTGTATTCTAAGCAGTTAACCCTGTCGCGCTGCAGCTAAGCTTAAACAGAGCAAGAGTGCATTAAAATGGCATAGATCCTGGATGCTAACAGTTTCTTGACAGCCTAATGCTCTCTAACAGGGCACTAATGCCGCTTTTGCCCATCCTCCGTCTGCGTGTGGCCAAAGGAAGCCAACATGGACCCTTCATTGCCACGGCGCCAAAACGTCGCCTAATATTGGCCAGCTCTTCAACATCCCTGAATTTCCTGCCTACTCTTGGGGGCTCTTATTATTTCTTTTAACAGAGTCCTTACCGTACACGGTATCCTCAGGAAGATGCGAATTCCTTCGTTACTCAACCACCTTGCCAGCTGGTTCTACGGCCCTCTATGATGTCCTCGTCGGGCTCTCCGTCTTAATCTCCTTCGCCAGGGCCGCAGAAACCTGCTACTGGCCAAATGGCACTGCGACCCCAGTCCAACTGAGTATCATGTCCGAATAGTAAAGTCCGTTGCGCAGTCGGGGAAGCCTGCCTATCGAACAATCTCTGCTATGGTTCCAAGCTGAACATTGCGTACCGCGGCGCATGTACCAACCTTTCCTGGCCGATTGCAGACTGTCCGCGCATTTGCTACGAGGGTACGGTTCGATGGCTGCATTGGAGCAGATATGCCCATCGAAAGTAAACTCTGTTGGCTCATGCGCTTGATCTCTCTAGAAGTCGACTATCAATGGGCAAACCTGTACGCGTGTCCCAATAACACCAACCAAGCCTTCACCTGCGGCACAAGTGGCTGGGCCTCCTCCGTCTGCGATGCAAAGCTGGGCCTGTACACCTGGGTCGACGAAATTGTGTCTCTCGCGCAGAATGGCATTTCGACCTCGTCGTCGTCGTCGTCGTCCTCTGCTGTGGCGACATTGTCGTCCCCCTCGCAGTCGACGACGACAACTACGACTCCTTTCTCCTCCGCCAATTCCGCAGCAAGTGCCAACGCGACTGGAAATTTGCAGCCGGATAAGAATGTTTTAACTCTAAGACTCGGATTAGGGATTGCATTTGGGGTTCCGCTGGTAGCTATCTCAGCGGCATTCTGTGGTTGTTGTTTCGCAAACGGCGACAGTCGGTTAATGCTCGGATTTAACAGGCCGTCAGACAATACCCAGCTGGAGCTCCCAGTATGGCTCCTGCTTATCGTTCGAATGGAGTGATGGGGAGTTGGAAGTCCCGAAGAACAATACTTACAGACCGGACTTAGAATGATGTGGTGTACTGCATTTTGGCGAGCGAATTTTATATTTACAACATGCTTAATGAGGGATTGTACCTAGCAACTAGTAATGCTCACCTTTTGATATATGCATAATGCGTCGTCGAATATCATCTCATTCTCTGCTCATGGCCAGCTCGGTATAGATCACGTGATATGGCCCACCACCACTGTTGTTGTCCACAGTCCGCACTGTCAAGTGTCAACTCGTATTTGTCCATCTCTCTCCGTGTTTGACCAAGGTCCCTCTGATTTTTGTACCTCCATTCCCTGCAATGAGTGAAGACAATCAATTCAGATCGACGTACACCTTCTGGCTCCCACCTGAGCTTTGGATGCGAGTCGCGTATTTTCTACCTCGGATGCCCGATCAACCGAGATGGCAGCCGTGGGTCAAGTATCGCGGGCTGAACAGGATATTCAAAAAAGAGATTGAAGATTTCTACTTCAAGCACTGGATCAAGCGTTCAAAGCTCTGGGTGAAACGCACGGACGAATATCCGTTGGACGTCCCTTTTTACCTTCCCCATGAATTACCCGACTTACCCCCTGAATTTTATCCTACGTATCTGCATGAGTGTTATACTTTCTCTGGCTTTCGTGATTCCGAAAAGCGCATCGCTATCTTCGAGGGTCAAATATTGAAATGGACAGATCCGCGAGATCGTGAGAAGTTAATTCTAATTGAGAAAATGTTGAACGAATTCGATGAGCAAGGATACAATCCTTACATCACTTTTGAGATTGAAAAAGGAGTAACCGATTTACTTCCCATCGACCTTCGTCTGCGGCATACCGTCATAAGTAGTTATTTTACCTTTGACTGGCGAACTTATCTCTCCACTCTGCTTGACGAGCGGCGCCGTGTTGATGAGTATGAAGAGAGGACCGGGGTAGGTATTCTTGGATCTTGCTCCAGTTGTTGTTCCAATGCTCACCATGACAGTGCAAATCCCCTCTCCAACTGGCAGTAAAACTGGGATGGAAAGTCGATAGCAGAGAAATGGAGCCTATGGAAGCAATGCTACATCTGGCGCGAGCAGCAGGGACTGACCTTGTTGGCCGTGATGGCCGACTGCTCGAAATCCGCAGGCGTCGACGGTTCTGCTTAGGACTCAAAACCGGCAAATTGCGGCGCCGACATCGCTTACCTCATCCACTCACTGTTGTTGAACATCGCTTTGCACAGCTCGATGAGGAACACGTGGCAGAGACGCTTCTGGGCGCTGCAATGGACTCTGGCCGGTCGTTTCCTGCACAGATAGAGTGGTAGCGGTCAAGCAGTCTAGGGACAAAGGCACTGCCCCGTCTGCTGATCCCTCGAAGGACTTCTCAACGCAAGATAAAACGTTCCAACCCGGCATAGCTCTCAAATCCGAAAGAGGGTTCACCAGGGTGACAGCCTGGATTTTTACTCCGATCTCCACAGACTAAAAACGATCGTCTCCAAATCTCCCAAGGAACCGAAAGCTGCAATCACCCCTTCAAAACAGATGTCCTCGGTTGAACTGAGCCTCAAACTGTGTCCCTCTTCGTGGGTTTACCCGCGCCACGGTTGCAGCATAAATCGACGAATGCTTCGCGGTCGAGCACAGCTCGTGCATCATTGAACATTTCGAAGTTCGATTCGATGGCCCCTTCAATATCAGATGATATCGTCTTGCCTCTCTGGCCTGCAGGAAGATGTCACAGGCTGGATCTCATTGGACGGTAATCGTACAACCCGTGCAACTCGAAGATGACCAACCAATGAGAGTCGCACAGGCAGCTGCAACATATTTCCGTTGTATAAGGCTGTCCAAGATCGACCGAAAGCCGAAGGACGAGCGTCGACCGTACGCTGTAGCAAGGCTAATTGTCACTTCGTGAGGGTAGGACTCCAAGATGCGGGGTCGCTCAGCAGGTATAAATTGCCAACGAGATCCGAGTCTGTCAAGGTGACCACATTACGACCGGAGAACTGTTTCTCCATCACCAAAGAGGCATCATGCAGCCTTTAGAAACCATTCAAGCGGTGCAAGACTATTATGGAGGATTAGCTGAGCGTGGCTCCAAGGATAGGTCTGAGGACCATCTGACCAGCGTTGCGAAGACGTTCGGCTATGACCCAGAGGATCTGAAATCCCTTCCCGAATATGCAAATCTTGGAGTCAGCTGTGGTAATCCTTTGGCATTGGCAAGCCTAAGAGAAGTATGTATGGCTGGGCAGTCGTCTGCGCACGTCTGACTGCCAGAAAATAGGGTGAGACTGTGATCGATCTAGGAAGTGGTGGCGGCATCGATGTCATTCTCGCTGCCCGCAAAGTCGGTCCGAAGGGAAAGGCAATCGGAGTTGACATGACCAAAGTGAGTATTCACTTCTATGAAGCGGGTTTTACGCTTCTGGCGAGAGACTTACTTCCGATCAACCAGAAAATGCTGGCTCTCGCCCACAAAAACGTCGAAAAAGCAGGCATCACCAACGCTTCCTTTGTCGAGGGATTCATCACTGCTATCCCGCTCGAGGATTCGACAGCCGACTGCATCATCAGCAACTGTGTCGTCAATCTCGTGCCAAAAGAGCAGAAGAGCCTTGTCTTTCATGAGATGTTCCGGCTTTTGAAACCTGGAGGTCGAGTTGCGATCAGTGACATCCTTGCTCGGAGGAAGCTTCCGCCCGAGATCGCGAACGACTTGGCGCTGTATGTTGGCTGCATCGCTGGTGCCAGTCAGGCCCAGGAGTACCATGCATATCTGAAGGACGCTGGGTTTTGCGGTACCTCAACCAATCCACGTGCGACTGACCGGAAGATACTGATGCTGTCCGCAGACATAACAATTGTGGACACTAAGGCAGACCTCAACGTGTACAAAGATATGCCGCAAGAGAAGCCTGCCTGTTGTGGCATGTCCTGCTCCGGCGTTCAAAACAATGACAACATTCGGGACTATGACTGTAATGAATGGGCTGGTGAGTTGTACTTGATGAGGCCTCCCGTCCTGGCTAACCCAGTCTCCAGGCTCCTTTCAGATATACGCCGTCAAGCCAGCATTGTGAATGACATCGGTCGTTTTCTCTTTCATATTTGCTATGAAACATGACAGAGATCAAACTACGTCTAGGAATGATATCCATCTTGTATTCACCTAGAATGAGATGAAATGCCGGCTCAGACACAAGGAATCCATATCTCGCCGTTCTCAACTTTCATCGAAGGGCATTAAATAGGATAATGGGAGATTTTCTTGTTGGGGCAAAAGAGATTCAACCGTATGTAGAAGACGTTTGCCAAACGGCACTCTCATTGAGAATGATACTGGGTATCCTAGCGGAGTTTCCACCCGATCGTCCGCCTATTGCTCCCTTGAAGAGAGCTCAATCGGGTAGCTTAGTCCCGTGAAGGTGAGCTTTAATCAAGCTTCGGTTAACCAATGGTCCGGCAACGCAACCTTGTTACGCCCAATTGACAAGCCCATATAGTCCTGCAGAAGTGGACGTCCTCTCTAGCTACTCAATGCTCATTGTAACCCACTCCGAGGAAAGGGGCTTCTCTTGCTGGAGTAGTGAAAGTTCGCTTAAATCTCGAAAGACGATCGGTGGGACAATGGTTTTCTCCCCGTACTACGTCGAGGCACTGGTCGTTAAGCTGCAGAGAAGGTCTACAGCAGTTCATGGACGCTAGCCACGTGAGCACTTGGCGTGCCGTATCCTGAGCTCTTTCAGTCCGGATATCGAAAGTTGCACAGCGCTGATTCGGATCTTCGAGCTTGATCTTTCTCAGCTTATGCCATTTTCAGTCACTCTCATTGCCTTGATTGGTAAGCTGGCTTGCGACCTGTGTGCTAGTGCCGACACCACTTTCGCGCCGGGTGTTATTACTTCTTCTTCGGCCTTGCATGTATGTATCCGTGGTTGTAACGACTCTCTCGCCAACGAATTTGTCACCAGGCCAAGGAGCCTTGCATACAGGACACTGTTCAGCCTGCCGCATACGGAAGAAATTGCGAGTGCACATATCGTGAAGCCGCCCCGAACAGTCACGATCGCCGCAACGTTGACCCTTTCGGAACGTCAGTTGCCATACTAATCACAAAGAGTTTACTCACCACCGTGATAATATCCTTGCATGCTGCGCAGAACTTGATCTTATCCACTCTCCGCCCTTCGTCGTTCTCATTGTACGTAGCAATAAGCCAGCCACGCAGCTCCATCAGCCCCCGCGGACTCAAACTGTAGAATCCCTTCCGGCTCTTCTCAAGCCAGCCTTCCTCCACAAGCTGCTTTAAGACCGTCTCTGCCTGCGACATGGTCAAAGACTGCACTGCTCCTCCCTGATTTTGCTGTGTGGCGCCCTGAGTCGCCCGTCGACTTGAATCCGAAGAAGCCTTAGCGAGCTGCATGGCCTGTATACCACTGACTACCATGGCCTCAGATCGTCGTGTATTGTAAGTATCGAAGATCGCGTCAAGAACACGCTTGATGAAGGCAATCTCGTCTGCCGAGTAGGTGGTCGCTAATTGCATGAGGGGATCACTAGTGGTATTCACAAGAGCATATACTCGTTCAGCTTGCGTACTTCCGTCTACTTGTTCATCGATCTGTAACTGGCGTAGCGTGCTCCTAATTTCCAGGTCGAATGGAGAAATTGAGGCGTTGGCAGCATCGATATAGGAGTCGAGATCTTCTTGCGATACATCGTCCGGGGAGACAGGTTGGTCCTCTATCATCATGCACGGATTAGCAAGTCCCTCGTGGTCTCTCGTATGACTTCATACCGTGCGCCGAAAAGATCGCTGCTAGAACAGGTCTGGCTTCCTCAAACGTCATGGTCGACCGGGCCAAGAACGCTTGGAGAAAGGCGCGGTTACTATCGTTGTAACCATTCGCCCCAGCATTAGTTGCCATTATGTCGTTTGCGACAGTTGCCTTCCGCCAAGTCGAGAGGCCAATCTATCGTTAAGTTTTGAGTACAAACCTGAGATCTTCGGTTTTTTTTTGCGGGGAAAGTTATTGCAACGCGATCCAACGCGACCCGCGTTATCGGATGCCAAGACCGAGACGGACAATTTACGGAGATCGCATCAAGCATCGCATAGATGAGCCTTTTACTCGCGCCATACGGACTTGTGACTATCACTACTCAAAAGGTCACTAACGGTGCCTTAAATGGTATGAATATGATCATGGTAGCTACTAATTGGAATGAGCTAGCTTTGATATCATGCTAAGCGAACAAGAAGGTACAGATGACAGATGTCACAATCTCCCCAGCGCCGAATATGGAAACGAAATCATAGAAGAAATCTCCCTAAAACCTCCGCCTGGTAGGCTCCGGACTAGGACTCCGGCTAGCACTTCTCGGGTCCCGGCCTCGTTCTTTGAGCCACTTCTTGGTGCTCAAGCGAAGCTCACGGTCGAGCTCGGGACTAGGATCTTTCCGGTGAATGAAATTGCAGAATCCGCCTCGTACGCATCCTTCGCCACTATTTAACCGGCAACACGCTTCTCGGAAATCTGTCACAGGTGATAGCTCGCAATATATCGGCCGTGCTGCGTACCAGCGCGAATTGAGCGCATCGCACGCGGCCTGTGCGTCTTCTTCGTATTTGAATCGCGCGTAGACGTTGCCGATGAGATCTGCATGATAGACTCGGTTAGCGATAGTTCTCTTGAAATCTTGATTTGCAACATAGAGCACTTACGGTCATTGTTGTTGTCGCAAACAACCAATTCCTCCAACTCGCCGTACTTGCACATCTCGCACCACACATCCTCATAGAACGCATCGAAGTGGTTTTGCAGCTGGCTGGGGTTCATCTTGCTCTTTGGGTCGTAGGCTGGGTTCTGATACATGTTGGGCATCAGGATCGTCTGGGAGTATGATGGCTTGACATGCTTGCGGGAGCATCTGTCGCCGTGTCTGCAGGCGCCAATCTTGTAGTAGAAGGAGCAATTGACCTTGTCCTGTTCTGTACCAAAAATGGAGGCGAGATAGTTGGCCATGATGATCAGCCGACAGCAGAATGAACCCGGGTCACTTGTGGTAGGAGGAACGATGCGGAGGCGAAAAGTGGACTGTCAGGGGACACGACGAAGTAAAGTGACAGAAGGTAAAGAGTGGGAAAGTGATGGTAGGATTGTGCCAGCGCAGGAGGTGAGGCTATATGTCCCTTCCCATAGCTTGAAGATTCTGGAGAGCTTGATCGCGTGGCGGAGATGCTGACTAACTTTTGTTGGAAGTTTCTAGCCTCAGGCCACAATAGAGGAACAAGAATATTCCGCGTGCATAATTAGTAACTCATGCATCATAATCCGCGCTTTCACTCAATCATTGGAGCAATTGTTCTATGCGGTAAATCAGATCATTTAACAACTCAAGACTTGTCTTGTTCTTTTGTTCTATCCCAAGACGACTCACACTATTGCAAGCCCACTCACATCTACATCAGGCTCAGCTCCCTCCACCATCTGCGCAATCACTTTCCCAGTTCCCAACGACAATGAGATTCCCCACGGACCATGACCTGACGCAATGAAAACTCTTCCCATTGTTCTACCATTCTCACATCTGTTTATAGGCTCAGTTTTGAGCCCACCTAGCAAATGATCGTCAACTCGAGTGACGAAGGGAATTCCAAGCGCGGAAACGGGTCGGAAGCATAGGCCTTCACGCAATATCTCCAAGTCATTTTGATTGGCATTGTCGTCTGTTGATTCCACATTGCCTTCGGCTGGTCCTCCCATCAGACGAACCGCCGCCTTTTTCAATCGTTCCATCTCATTCTGTTTTATTAATTTGCACGAGTCCTCCGCCTGAGCTGGAAGAGGGATATGCGTGTCATTCAGACCGGATATGTAGATCTCTCCGCCTTGACGAGAGAAAATCTCAGGAGAGAAACCGCTTGAATCAGTGTGTGTCGTAAACACGGCATGACTGCGGCCGGCGTTTGTTACCCTCTCATCTTGGAGCGTGTATCTGGGAGAACGAACGACAAGGGAGTATCCAGCCAACGCGGTGATTGGGATTGAAAGACGAGACGAAGGGAACAGATCATGATAGACTTGCGGCGTCCAGGGTCCAGCACAAATGATGATATTTGTGCAGGAAAGTGGGGACTCCGTTTGAGTATCCAAATTAATGATGTTGACCCCAGTGATAGCTCCACTGACTTGATCTGTAATGACGGATATGGCCTTAGCCGGGTTGTGCAACTTGACACCGCGGGACAAAGAACTCTCCAAAAGAAATCTTGACAGTCTCAATGGGTCTCTAATAAAAGCCGTCAGTTCGCCATGCGGCAGAGTTCGCAATAGTCATTACTAACACTTGTGCAACAGTGCCATCATCGCTAATCTTCTCAAGGACCCCTTTCTTCTGCTTCGTCAACCAGCCGGGTACCTCCGCATGAATAGGACTACTGGAGCTGGCAGCTGCCTCTGCTCGACTTGTTCCTGCACTCAGCCAGTCATCTCCAGGAGCACCTCCTTTCTTATTCTTCTTGGAAAGGTCCAGGCTCAGTGCTGTGCCTTTCATATATCCCCATTTCTGCGCCCCTCCATGCTTGGCTGCCAACGACTGATGCAGATTGAAAGAGAGAGCTCCCAGGGGTGCAAGAGCTGGCGCGAACCAGTCCTTGGCTAGGAAGCCTGCAGCATATCCCGATGCAGCACTGAACAACTGAGACGAGGCCTCAACGATATGGATCTCGTCGGACGATCCATTTTCAGATAGGTAGTAAGCAATTGAAGATCCGATGATGCCTCCTCCAAGAATCACAGTGGACATACTGCCGTTCCGTGGTCTATGGATTGTCCTAGGTCGATTACGCCGCTATGGCCCTATGCGTCATCAGTGATTCGTAGAGCAATAGCCTTAGAGCATACTTTCACTTACATTATATGTCAAAGTGTATTCTTTTGTTTTTCAATATTGTATTCTCGATGGACTTGAATGGAATATGGCAGGAGTCTATAGCCACGGTAGAACTACGACAGGCCTCTGAAGACGGTGATCTACGGCCTTTCAATAATGTTGGGCACTTGATCCGTGCTTATGGGAAAGAAGTTTTGGAATTCCATACCTCCCTATGCAAGCCGTGAAGTCGAGAATCAACTGCGTAGCTTCCAGTTGTTCTTGTCACTGTGAAGTGTGAACCTATAGATACCGGTTTTCCGAGTCTGCGGTAAATAAGAGATGCCTTCGGGCATGCACTTCGCCAACAAGAAGAACAAGACTAGATTGTTATACTTTAAATTCGGCCCAAGGACTCGTGGTACCTGTAAACGGGCAGGTTTTATCTGGGCAATTGAGAAAATATATTCATAGAGAGGGGTATCGATGGCATTATTATTCTGCGGCATCTTCGCCGACAACCCCGCGTTCCCCTCACTGAAGAAATTACATCACTGCTGCTCGCAACGTTTACCTTTGTTTATTCTGACAACTCAATTGGTCCTTGCTCATTCTTCTTCAGTGACCAGAAAGTCCAGCTTAAACTCCTCTGGGCTTCTAGGCTTCTAAGCTCGCAAACTTTTCTCTTTTATTTGTTGCTTTCTTCTGCCATAATCTTGACGACAAACATGCCGGGCAAAACCATCATTGTCACTGGCGCCTCGAGAGGTACTTCCGTCGAGCATGCCCCTCAAATACACGTGTACTAACTCGCATTCCACAATTCTCTCAGGTATCGGACTCGCTATTGCAAAGTACCTTCTTACCGCGCCACAGTCGCACAATGTCGTCGTGATCGCTCGCAGCGTCGAACCTCTCCAGAAGCTCAAGGAACAGTACAACAAGCAGGTCGAGGTGCTCAACGGCGATCTGGCGGATTTCTCTCTCGGCCAGAAGGCAGTTGACCTGGCTATCAAGTCATTTGGCCGTCTTGATGGATTGGTCCTCAACCATGGAATACTCGGACAAGTCGGCAAAATCGACAAGGCAGACCCCGAACAGTGGAAGCTCGGATTTGACGTGAATTTTATCAGCTTCGTCGCGTTTGTAAGACATGGCAGTTGCTGGATGTTGGTGTTCGAATGCAAAAGGACTAATTGGCGTCTACAATAGATCAAAGCTGGTCTACCAGCGCTTCGCGAGGCCAAGGGAAAAATTATCTTCACTTCCTCTGGCGCTGCGGTGTCCGCCTACCGAGGCTGGGCTCTTTATGGAGCAACAAAGGCTGCGATGAATCATCTCGCCTTGTCTTTAGGCGAAGAAGAACCCGACGTTACCACCATCTCGATCCGGCCCGGAATGGTGGACACTGAGATGCAGCGCGAGTTGAGGGAAGACCATGCTACGAGTCTTGAGCCTCAAATGCATTCCAAATTTACAACTGCGCACAAGGACGGAAAGCTACTCAAACCCGAGCAGCCAGGCCATGTGATGGCTAAGCTGGTCCTCGACGGTCCAGCTTCGCTAAGCGGAAATTTCCTCTCGTAAGTCATCTGTTCATTCATGCTAAACACTAACTAACGACTAAAATAGATGGAATGACGAAGCTCTAAAAGACTTCCAAGCATAAATATTCATATACCGTTCAGGCCTATATATATGACCCGTCAGTACATGTCGCAACCAACGAGCAGATAGAAATAAACGGCATGAAATTGTAAATATAATCAGTCGAAAGATGAAAAGCAATACATTTTAGAAGCATTAGGTGCAGAGCACCTTCATACTTAGCATGGAATGTAGGGTACTCATCATATATAAAGTGGAGAGAAGATGGAGAGAAAAGGAGCACCCATACCTATAAGTTTACTCAAATCCATGTATGCGAAAACATTCGGACAGCCATCAACACGTCAACGTCCAACATCTGAATTAAGAATTTTGGCTAATGGAACCACAGTTCAGCTTCGCATGAAGTCAACCCCAGCTACAGCCTAGATATACTTCAAGCTGTTAGCAAAAGATATGTAATCTTTAGACGTTAAATGCAATAGTGAAAGAAGAGGAGATATCAGTTGGTCCGTTTGGCTTGGACAGTGTTCGTCACCACAGAGTGGTATGATAGGGGCGACAACAAGGTTCATCATGTAGAATTGCAAGGATCTTTGATAATGTGGCTAACATACCTTCGACAGTTAGTGCTACTTGCACTATGGTGTGAGCAAAATGCAACTTTTTAAGATCTCGTCATTGAAGACCTCGGAGACGTTTTGTCTCGCTTGTTGTTGTGTGGTGAGAGGGAAAAAGGTTGCAGAAGGAAAAAAAAATTGCTTGCAGATAAAGACTGAAGGCGGTATGTTTCTGCCCCTATTCTTTATCCCGTGTCCAGTATCTCCACGCGTAGTGGGATTTCATCGACTATTTATCAAGGCTAAGCGCCATCTGCCCCACGCGGACTTGCTATCACAAGATATAACCTTCGAAGTTCGCGAAACTTTGCGACATATGAACTGCGCTTTTGTCCGAGACGATTTACTGCCCATCTACCATGTCTGATAGAGAGTTCAGCTGTATGTACCTTCTTTCCACCCATTCCTTGACAGCCCGGCTGACACTTCAACTCATATACAGCGAATGATGACCTATCGCTTCCCAAAGGTATGTGACAGAAACCCGCGTTCAGTATATATCTTTGTCGCATTTGGAGCGATTATCGCCTCACGGCCTTCAATGCTCTTGCGCCCGTGCAGCCTACATGTAGCTTACTTTGTTCCCCGCAGCGACGGTCCAAAAGATCATTACAGAGATCCTACCACCATCGTCCGGTCAAACATTCTCCAAGGATGCTCGGGATTTGCTCATGGAATGCTGCGTCGAATTCATTACTTTGATCTCTTCTGAGGCCAACGATATTAGCGAGAAGGAAGCAAAGAAAACAATTGCTTGTGAACATGTGGAGCGGGCTCTGCGTGACCTTGGATTCGGTGACTATATTCCCGAAGTCCTTGCCGTCGCAGAGGAACATAAGGAGCAACTGAAGGTTTGTATCCTGCGACAGTCGCTCGGGAAGACAGCTTTTGCTAACGGATGAGTAGTCGCGAGAGAAGAAGCA